TGTATTGCGGCTGCTGCGGGAAATAGTATATATATGTGCGCGAATGTGATAAAACCGAATGGTGGAAAATATATAAAACAGAACAATTCTTAAAACACGGACGAAAATGTAGCCGGACTGTCGTCGCGCGGCGCAAACGAGGAAAGAAACAAACACGCGCCGTCGAGCAGTCAGCAGTGTCAGGCCCAGGCCAGGCGGCAGCAGCCGAAAAACTAACTCAACGAGAGAACGCGTCAGAGAGCAGCTGTGAGAGAACAATAGCACAGAGGCAGGGCACAGAGCGTACAACACTGCGAGAGAGTGCCAAACGCATTTCTAATAAGAGTATGGGCGAACTGCCCGCTGTCTTGTAATGTAACGGGTAAGGGCGAAGGTGTAGAGCGTTGGAATATTAATGTTCAGCTTCGTGCTCTTTGCACGTGCCAAAGAGCGAGTTAGTGCACGCTGACGTAGCAAATGTTTGTGCATATTTTTTGTGCTTACGTGACTTTTTTGACACATGAAGCGGTTTAAGAAATATGCAATAAAAACATATGTACACATTGCGGTTACACCCGTTATGTCAATAAGTACACATGTATATACGTACAATGTATGCAAGCGCTTTTGCGGTTTTTGTTTACACAATAAATTTAACATTTTAACCAAATGCAAAAACGAACAGCCGGAAGCAAAGTTGAGCCGGTTTTAAGAATTTTTGAGATAGACATTTGCTTACGAGTCTTCAAGCAAATTGCAGTAACAAATGATTGAGTTGGGGCCAATAAAAACAATCGAGTACTTTGGCATGGAAAGTTTTTCAATTTGAATCAATTTAGAGAGTCGATGTGGGATATCTAAAAGAATCTCCACAGCGTAAAAGAGTGAAACTGAATGGCGTATGAAATTTGGCAACATGGCATGGGCGTGTGTGAAGTGGGAAGCGAAAGATGATGGCAGATCGTGTTAAATGTTTAACGAATTTAAATTGCGTTCTATTAAAAATAATGAAATAAACATTACAAATACATAGGCAGACTAAAAAAAGAGCGTAAAAGAGAGAAAGAAAGAAAGAGAGCAGCTGACGATAACAGAGGGAATATTGGAGACTGACATAATCGCAGCAGTAAAGCACGTTTTTTTGTTTTTGTTTTGGGTTGGCCCCGAGAGAGCGAAAGGAAAGCCACAGTATAGACGCGCAGACCGACAACCAGCTGAGCCAAAAGGCGACAGCCGCTTTGTCGCTGCAGCTCAAAACACAAACAGCAAAATAACAACAAAAGCGACAAGTGGTGGCCACAACACAGCCGTACAGTGCAGGACAGAGCGGGCGGATGAGCCGAGCAGACACTGGGAGAGAGAGAGAGCCCACTCATTGGGCTGCGCATTGAAAAAGACCGGTATGACCACGCAAAAAGCAGACAACGCCAGCAACGAATGAGCGAGTAAAAGACAAAAATGAACAAACAGACACGGCGCTGCCACTCGTTCGCTCTTTCTCTCTCTCTCACTCTCTCCCTATCTTTCTCGCACTCTTGCTTGTACCTGAATTGAAGTGTGCGGCACACATACAAGCACAACATCACGTAGGCTTCTGACGTGCTGTTGAGGGCAGCGTGAAAAACGAGGTTAACGCAGACATCGACACCACTATATATACAAATACACGCGCACCAATATCATCGCCTGATGTGCGAATTGCGTTCAAAAACAAATAAGTGGAAGGGCAAAAAGCAAAGCAAAAACAACAAAAACACTTCTTTTTTATGGTGCTTTGTTTTCTTAAAAGAAAAAACGACAAAACGAATAAATATGTTTGAGGCTGGGATTTATTTTCCTTTTTTTTTTACATTGCACGACAGCAACAGCGTTGCCATATGCACGAAAAAACTTTGCAGGGCAGCGTTTACATTTACATATACCCACGTTGCTTGTGTGTCTGTGGGAGGGGGAAGGGTGTTTGTAGCAGATGCGTGTGAGAAGCTGCACGTACGCACGCAATTTTTGGGTGCTTGTTGTTTATACAAAACAGACAACTAGTGTGCACGAGGTTGGTTCTTGATAATAATGATGATACACTTTATACAGCTTGTCTGCCACTCATAAAACGTGGCATAGACCAACGCACGGTGGCAATTGGCCAAGCAACCACCCACAAAGTAGTCGTCAAATAGCGATGCTTGCTCACATATGCATACATACATATGCAGCAACTTTCATTGTTGCTTGCGCGAAAATTGTAAAATAAATTATCGGCACAGCGACAGACGATGCCTCCGCCTTTTTCCCCACCAAATCCCGTTTTATTCGTAAGGCGCGTGTATCCAACATGCAGCTGCAAATTTGCTGAATATACACAGCGCTTCACCCGTCCCTCCCCCCACACACACACAGCCTTCACTTCAATTGATATGCATTCAGCTCAGTTAAGGCGCTGATAAACGTGGTTTTTATTGTTTTTTTTTTCTCTCAATTTTTTTTTTTTTTTAAGTTTGTCATCATCAACCTCTGCCGCCGCTGCTGTTGCACTAGTGGCAGCGCAGTCGCTACACGTCAGCAGACGTTAGCTCGAACTCGGTCAGCGTTGCTAGCAGAGAGCGGGCGGCCACAGCGCTCATCGCTTTGTCTTTGTTCGCACTGTTCGTTCATTTTTGTTTGCTCGCTTGCTTTGGCTGTCGTTCTATTTTGGGTTGCTGCTGCTGTTGCTGCCGCTCGTTGCAGCGGCAAAGTGCAATAAACGTCATCAAGGTTATGCGCTGTCGCTGCGCTGCCCGCGTCGCTGTTGCAGTTGCAGTAGCTGGTTGCCGCAGCGCTAGTTTCGCTTTACAGTTTATTAACACTTTGATCCGTTTTCATTTGTTAAGCTCTTTGCGTGTTGAACAGCGCGCACAGTGAATCATTTTGTATTAATTGCCTGAACACTCAGCTAAGATAGCCATGCATATGGCCGTCTCGCTTGCACGCGTTCAGCTCATTTTTATATGTATTTCACAGAAATGCAAATGAATTTTGTTAATTTGTCAATTCCGGAAATAAGCTTCGGCGCGCAGCTAGCCCAAAAGCAACAACAATAATTCATTTCACGCTGCTGCCCACACAACGCCGCGTCCTACCCCTTACCTCCACCTCTTCCACTTTCAAAAAAGACTTGATAGGCAACATTCTGGGAAAGTTTCTTCGGTTTGGTCTGCGCGTCTCTTCTGAGGGCAGCTGTTTATACGCGGTGCGCATTTCCTTCCAGCTGTTAGCCGATCTACGAGGCAGAGACAGAGGGGAATACGCACTCTATCTTATCGCTGGCACTCTTTAATTTTCATTTCCCATGCTCATTGCATAGATAAGCCAATCGTTTATTAATTTTGGAATATACGCGCACTTGGTACTTGGAAGAAGGATTAATTGAAGTGAGACTCTTTCGGTTGGTGCTCAAGAGATAAATGGAGAGGCCTTTAAAGGCCAGTGGAAGAAAGTCCAATGTTCTTTAGATAACAAAATAAAACGTAGGATAAAAATAATAGTCTTATAAAGCGACATTAAGGATAACAATGCTGTATGACAAAAATATTATTAATATTATTATAATATTAATGTTGGCTTGGAAAAATTTGTGCGTAGAACGATTTTCCCTTTTAGAGATGTAACGTTTTTCTAGCTGTCCCTCATATCAAACCAAAACAAAATCATTTTCCTATGAATAATATTACGACTGGCGTGCCTCCATTTTCTTTTTACATTGCTTATTGATAACACAGATCTTATATATTCTACATTAAGGTATTTATGAAGTGATGCAAGCTTTGTTATTGACATCGCAAAAGTCATAAAAGACAATCAAGAACGACACGTGATTTGATTATATATGTACATATATAGTACATTTGTTTATATAAATATTTGTATTTATTTAATTTAATAGAGGCGACTGAGGTCTAGAAATGCATGACGTAAAGACGCGATTATAAAAATGCTTATTGTTGTTAAAACTTTTACAAGCGGCACTTGCGGTATTTGTTGCCGTAAGACCGCAAAATATGTGGTTCCCGCAGGTTTTTGACTAGGTAAAAATAAATGGTCTTAGCCCAAAATTGTTGCTTAGTTTTTCAACTTATCTTGTTCCTTGTAGAAATATTATATCAAATGAGGCATACTTAATTTTCCAACAAATATTAGACAAATTATAAAACGTCAGCTTTAACTCTAGGCACAATTTATTATAAGCTCAATGCTGGGACAAATTCGCACGCATATTTAATAAGCTGTGGCCCACTGTAGATGCGTAATTGCTTACGAATAACGAGTGATAGGTTTGCGCAAATCAATAGCTGACGTGGCACAATTGATGGGCAAATTAATGAACTTGTTGCCGAAATTTGTATGTGCGGGATATACCCTACAATTCATATTCACACACATACATATAATTTATAATGTCGAATACCTCAAGGAATGCCCAAATATACATATATATATATATACACACGCACATTTCAGCATAGAAAACTCTATTCAATGGTTTGTTGCCAGGGGCCTCAGCTGTTTGAGCGCAGCACTAAAAATATAGCATGAAAATGTATGCGTAATGGAAATGTGAAAACACACGCACACTAAAGCAAGTGCATTACGTTTCCAGAACAATTTCAAACTGAACAATAAGAAGAAGAAACAAGTGGTAGGCATTACACAAACAGGGGCATAGAAACGTAACAGAACGTAACACACACACAAGGGCAGCTAACACGCAAGGTAAAGGGATGAAGGGCGCTCTTCAGTTATGCGTCTCTCTCTCGCTCCCTCTCACTCTATTCATGTGCGTGGCAACGAGCGGCAGCTGCAAAAAGTTTCAATGCACATAGCTCGCACAGTGGCTACGAAACCACTTAAAATGCAACGAAAAAAATGTACATAAATACATTGTATATTATACGTATATTGACAAGGGAAAGCCAAAGAGCGCGAGAGCGTAAGAGTAGCAAAAAAAGGAGTTAAAATTGGAGAAAAAAAACTTGAAATTCAACACTCACCTGATTGACTTTGGCTGCAGCTGTTGTCGGTGTTGCTGCAAGAGACATTGCTGCCGCCTACGCCGCTGTCTGCGGAGCCGCTAGCGTTGTTGATTGCGCTGCTGCTGGTGCTGCTGCCGCAGCCGGTGTTGCGTCGCAGCGACGCAAACTCCTTAGCAGCAGCTGTGCTGGTATTTTTCTCTTCCAAAATGCGTTCAACCATTATTTTTGGCGCTTCGGTTTCTTTTTCCCTTAAATTATTGGCACTCACACAGTCTCTCTGCTCCAATCACACAAGCAAGCAAATGCACGCACTGTTTTTTTTTGTTTTTTATTTTTCCGGTCTAACAGCTGCAATGCTTGGGCTTGCACCTCCTCTCCGCTCTTACTCGACGCTAATAAGACACAACGTTGACGTCAACGTCGCTGCTGCGTCGTGCTCTCGCTCTCTCTGCTGCTGCGGCGATAGTTGTTGTTGCTGCGCTCATTCAAAATGGTGGCTGATGAAAAGATTTTTCTGCTGCTGCTCTGCCAAGAAATGATCTGAATTCTAGTTACTGCAGTTGATATTGCTGTAATTGCAGTCGGCGTCGTTGCGAATTGCGCAGCAGCATGAAAAAATGTTTGAAGAAAAATTTAATTTGGCAATAAAATTTTTAGCCACTGTTCTGCAGCTGCTGCTCTGCTGGCGTTGGCTGCGCTGCACTGTTGTCGGTCGGTTGTTGGTAATTGTGGTTGTTATTGTTGGATTTTCTCATCACATCGGGAAAAGCGAGCAAAAAATTGAATATTCCTTCTATTTGTTCAATTTAAATGAATCTTGCGTTTCACCTTTCCTATGTGGGGGCTTTCTATTGGGCTTTGATAGTGGTTGCTGTTGTTGTAGTTGCAGTAAAATTTGATAGAATATTGCAAAATTGCTGTTGGTTATTGCCTGGGACTAACTGTTGGTGGTGTTTGGTCGTTGTAGCTGTTGTTAAAAATTTTCTGCTGATTACAACACAAAAAAAATCGCTGAAATAGCGGACAAAAGCCGTTTTCTTTGCGTTTTTCGCTTTAAATTATCTCTTTTAGCTACCGATCCATTTTTTAACGTACGAAGATGATTTCCGACTGACTAAAATTAGCGATGCACCGTGGAAGAAATATCGAAATATCGATAAATTTTTTATTTCACAACATTTGCGATATTTATTCATTGAGGTACTCGATGTATGCATGTAAACGCAAAAGTTATGTTAGTAGAACAAAATGCATTTAATTTTAGTATTGCTATTAGTTATTAAATTGTATGCTTTGCCAACGTGTTTGCTGTTTGGCACTTAAGAAACAGCTTATTATCGATTGCATATTCTGTTAGCTGTGGAGTTGCACTCTGTTAGGTGTGGAGCAAATATGTTAAGTGGTTAGCAAACGTAAAGTCACTTCATTTTCCCGCTTACCAACACACATTTAACGCATTCTGTATTTAAATAATTACAAAATTCGGTTGAAGAATCAAAATTGCAGTATTTCTTAAATTTAGAGCACTCTCCGGTATTTCACTTTGTAGCTATGTCTTAGCTTATGACTTTAACCGCCCCCTTTTTAAGCGCCGCCCTGTGGGTGGTGCCAGAGCACGTTACAACCACCAATCACATTGTCCAGGACTTGCTGCAAGCACATTTCACTAATGCGCCTGCGTAGATCAACAAGACGGCCAATTGAAAATTTGGTTTGAAACAATTCGACATCAAGTCAAGTGTTTCCAAAATTTAGTTTCTTTTCGCTTGGCATTTGCAACGCTACCAAAGCCAACGGTCGCAACTTTCAACAATTATCACTTGGAATTGAATCCTTTCTGCTGCAATGGCCGATGACATCGCGGCGGTTGGGCAGGTCAACGCGGCCAAGCGGCCACGACTCGCAGCCGGCTCGACGAAGTCGACGAAACCCATCGAGACGCAGCTGGCCAAGGCCTCGAATCGGGTGCCCAAGTGCGCCCGTTGCCGCAACCATGGCATCATCTCGGAGCTGCGCGGCCACAAGAAGCTCTGCACCTACAAGAGCTGCAAGTGTGCCAAGTGTGTCCTGATCTTCGAGCGACAGCGCATTATGGCCGCACAGGTGAGCTGAGCTTTTGCTGAGAGAAAGGCAAAAAAGAGAGTATATCGAAACGTATTGTAACATTTAACTAGGCATTTTTCGAATCGACAAATATTTTAGCGCCTTATAAGAAGCTCGCAGTTTTTAACTGTTCTCTAAGATTAGGAGTTCCCTACAATTTCTCCCCTTGGGCGTAGTTTGATTTTTCTCTATTCTCTGTTGTTACGCATCCGTAAACGTTTTGCAAATTGTTTTACCGTTATAGTCTCTTTCTAACTTTGGAGTCAATTTAGCCTCGTGTTTTGCCCCAAGCTGACAGCTCCTGCTATAATTATACGCTTGTTAACCCTTTGCAGCCTTAACTTAAGAAACTATCGTTATTCTTATCGGATGCTTCGCACATATTAATAGTTATTCTGTTAGTATTGTCTTTAGATTAACCACCGCAATGTTCTAATTTGAAAGATAAACATGCCATGGGCCAACTGCCCCAGCCCCTGACCCCTGCCCCCTGACCCCTGCTCCCAGCTCGCTGCGAGCAAATGCAAACAAATGAAATACGAAATGCTGTCCAGATTTGTGTTAACCTTCTTCTTCTGGTCTCGGTGATGATGATGGAAAGTTGTCAAAGCGTACGAACAAATCGAGCTAAAATATCCGCTTACCAAATGTTTGCACAACTGTTGCCAGGGCTCGCATTACACGAGGGGCAAATTAACTGGGCGAAGACAGTTCCCAAATTCGCAGAAATTGAAGTTCTGAAAATCGTTGAGTGTTTTTTACAGTTGGCCTTGTAAAAATCTCGCAAATGTTTTTCTAGGGTTACATTAGATTTAGTTAAATTAATCTTAAGCCTTAAAGCAGCTTTTTAATACAAACTTAACAGCTTTCCATGAGCTTTACGAAGCTTTTATTTTACGTTAAAATATCAAAACTAAACAATTTTTGAGCTTTCGAGTTATTAAAGACTCAGAAGCTTATTTTGAGCTTATACTGAGCTTTTTAAAAACTTTAAATATTTAAAACTTTCATTTATTTAAATATATTTTTAACTTTATAACGAATAGGTTGAGATTTACTTTAAAAACTCATTTTGATGTGGAGCTTTTTAAGAGCTTATAATGAGCATTTAATTGAATTAAAAACTTCAATACAAAAAGGATCAAAGCAATTAGATTTTAATCAATAAGACGCGTAAAGCTTTGGATGAGCTTTTATAGAGCTTTTAATTGATTAAATACATCTATACATATTTATTAACCATATAAACCATATTAAGCTGTGCTCAAATTTATTGGCATATTTGACGACGCAGCACGCTTAACTATTTCTTTCCATTTTTGGGCCGGTTTCTGTATTTGGGAACACCCTGCTTCGGTGCGTTTGTGATACCCAAAGGAATTGCAGTTGTTTTTGGCCGTTTGGCGGTTTGTTTTGTTTGTCTGTTTGCCGCACGCAAAGTCAAACAGAGATTCGGGCAAGCCGCGTCCAACACTTGTCGCATATTAATTTCAATTGGCATTTCGCAGGTCGCCCTCAAGCGCCAGCAGGCGGTGGAGGATGCCATCGCGCTGCGCCTGGTGGCGAATAAGACGGGCCGCAAAATCGATGCACTGCCGCCGGGCAGCATCTTTGGCCTAACCGTAACGCAGCCCAAGGATCAGGCTGCAGCAGCACACAGTCCACAGGAGGCGCCACAGCAGCAGCCGCAGCAGCAGCCGAAGCCAGTTGATGCGGAGCCCGAAGCCTTGGCTGTGGCCCAGGATCTGAGTGCGCCGCGTCGCGAGTTCGTCTCCCAGACGGCGATCGATATGCTGGCGCAGCTCTTTCCGCAGCGCAAACGCTCCGTGCTGGAGCTGGTGCTCAAGCGCTGCGACCTGGACCTGATACGCGCCATCGAGAATGTCTCGCCGCCGGCGGAACAGCTGCCGCCGTTGCCGCAGCCACTGTCGCTGCCTCCGTCGCAGCCCGCGTCGCTGCAGCTGGCCATGCCGCAGCGCAGCAGCGCCTTCAGGCCAGTCATAGCCGAACAGGTGAGCCGCTGCAGCAGTTACCAACTATCCCCATACTCTGTTTCACGAATCAGAAAGTGTATTTTCGGTTTGTGTCCGTTCGACTCTTAATCAGTACGATTTTGATCAAATTATACCCTATTCGCATTGAAAGCGGCTAGATTAGTAATGTGAAATTTCAATTACGCATTTTCCATTTTCCAAACATCGATAAATATCGATTTTCATCTATATACCCTGTTCCCATACAAAAATTGCTAATAAATTAATTAAATAAGTTAGAGGGATGGGGACAGAGAGAGAGAGAGAGAATTTTGTAATCTATACTATCGATTATTTGCTTCGATTTATTTTCCGAACATCGATAAATATCGATTCTTGAAACAATGTTATTTAAATTTAACTCGGGGAATTCAAGAGCTAGAGACGGACAAATTCGGTTTGTATGTTCTCATCTCCGCCTCTATATACCCTGTTCCCCATTGAAAACGGGTATTATACATTATAGCCAATGCTTATATGATAGATTGTATATATGAGAACTGTAAGAGCTGGAGAGAGAGAGAGAGAGAAATTCGCCTCCACCTGCAATACCCTACACCCTGTACGGGTATAATGCTCGTAAGTATGCTAGGTATTATATGGGAACAATCAGGGCTGGAGAAAAAGAGAGAGAAATTCCGAATCAAGTTTACATTCCTTTCTATCGATATCTTTCCCCGATATCCCTGATATCGATATTTCGGGAAATATAACCACTAGTTACCCAAAATGGAACACCTCCACTAGATAAGTTACAGAGGCTGTGAACAGAGTATTGCGCAGTCGGTTGCAGTCGACTTGCAGCGTTCTTCATTGTTAAGTCTGCAGCTTGCATTACTGTTGCAGTATGCGGCGAAGGCAACGTCGACGACAGCCGCCGCCGCCGCCGCGATTTGCGCGTATCCGAAGTGGTTTGTGCCGCTCTCCTTTCCCGTCACCATGGGCCACCTGTCCAATTTGGCGCCGCGCTGCAACCTGCCCAACTGCAACTGTCTGGAGAGCTATCAGTTCCACTAACCACAATTAAAACTATGCAAAAATTAATCAATTTATTTTAAAGTAAATGTGTAAAGCAAAACTTAAATTAAATCTGTGTTTGTATTCTAATTGGCTACGTATTTGCCTCCTGCGCCACATTCTCCTCCTCCTCCGCCTCTTCCTCATCATTGTCATCATCGTCGTCCTCGTCTGCCGACAGGTACATGCGATCCTCATCTTCGCTGTGCGCCTGCTGCTGCGCCCCTCTGCCCGTCCCCGTCGGTGCGCTGCTGCTGCTGCTGTTCGAAGTGGGCGTGGCTGCTGAGCCGCCGCTGCCGCTGCGCTTGGTCTGATTGGCCCGTCGCCATTTGGCGCGCCGATTCTGAAACCAGGTCTTCACCTGGCGATCCGTCAGCTTCAGCTGGAGCGCCAAATGGCGCCGCTCCTCGGGCGACAAATACTTTGAGCTGGAGAAACGATTCTCGAGATTTTTCGTCTGCTGCGACGTGAAACGGATTTGGCCACCTTTGCGCTTCACCCCGAAGTTGGACATGTAGAAACTGGCGCCCGGATAGGCCGCATTGCAATAGAGGGCAGCGGCAGCGGATGCGGGATTGCTGAAACCTGAAGAAACAGTTTGGCCACATAAATATGAAGGTAAATCACAAATTCGAATTTAAATGCAAAGATTGTCGGTTAGGCAACTTTATTTGCGCCCATATACCCCTATAGGGAGGGTATTATAATTTGGTCGTAAAATGCATAACGCATGGAAGGAAATGCCTCCGACCTCATAAGATGTATATATATATTCTAGATCAGCCGAGTTGATATATCCGCCCGTCTATTTCAATGCGAACTAGTCTCCTTATATATATGAAAAATCTTATCAACATCGGACCACTATATCATATAGCTATCATATAGTCGAACTCATCAAGCTTCAATATGTTTACATATCTGCACAAGGCATATGTTTGAAAGGGTATTAAATATTTTGCATGTTTTTTATCAAATTAAATATACATTTATCACATTTCCTCTACTCGCAATTGGGAATAAACCTTTGCTAATTTTACAAACTTTCATATTTTAAATATCAAAATAAGCATAAGACAATATCTGTTTGATTTTTGGTTAACCAGCAAAAAAAAAAAAAAAAAAAAAAACAATATCTTTAAAGTGTTTGTGGATTTTGTTTTCGAACTATTTGTTTACACCTCCCAAAAATTGAAACTCTATCTAAATAACTAAGTATTTGAAAACCAATTTGATTTTTAAGCTCCTTAACAGCTTGATTATGTTGATTTTTCTTTTATATATTTTCCAACTATTTCAGTAATTATTCACTCGATAATTTCTTTTTTTCCAATATTTCAATATCAAATAACCTTTTGTAAATTTGATATATTTTAAGTTCAAATTAGTGTAAAACATTTTTTAACTTGTTTTAGTCCTGCAAATTATTTCAAATTTAGTAAATTAAATAAATTTAAATACACTTAGATTTTTTTGAGAAAAATGTTTCCTGACTTATGACGAACTAAAATCTTGATATTGATGCGTTCCAATTTTTGTATGTAACTGTAAAAGCTTTAGTACGTTTGAATGTACTTCATAATAAATTCGAGGGAAATTTTCGATCGCTTTTGATTGGTTGCTGCGCCAGAGAGAGTGATTTGTGCGTCTCTTTCGCACACCCAGAAGGGCCGTCGGGCGTGCTATTTCGCCCACTCTATATGCATGGCTACGCCCACCAATGGGCTGCGCCTGACGGCAATTGAGAAAGAATCAATTGCCATAATTGTTATCGGAGGGGGGGGGGGGGGCCAGCTGGCCAACAACTAATTCGATTGTATATGAGCTCGCCTAATGAAAGAGTGTCGAGTGGATGGCGTGATAAGGTGCCTAGTCCAAAGCTCGTATCGCTCCCGGGCGAACAGAAATGCCCATGTCGGACTGCGAAACGGAAATTTGCACTAACAATTCCAATTTAACGGAGACTGCCTTATGGCGGAGAGTCATACGACGCTGAGATAACTATCCATACTTAGACCGACTGACCTCAGGCCATGTGCAATATAGTAAATATAAATATATATTGAAAACATGCGAAATGGAAACATATCGTTAAAATTAATAACGCTTGCGATTTAATGTCATAATTTAAATTGTACAAATACAATTATTAACGTTTATTTTTATTAAGTGGCGTATTGCGCGATAAGCTCTGAAACATGGAACCACCTCTCCGCGCCACCCCCCCCCCCCCCCTCCCCGTCGCTGCTCTGCTTGCACTGGTTTTCTTTTTATTTTTTAGATTGCTTTTTGTTGATTTCTTGCACTTGAGAACAATTTGTTGTTAATCGTTCAAATATTGAATGAAGAGGCAGCGACACTTGTACCCAAAGAAACTAAAATATTATTGAAAATGGAATTGAGGAACCCGTCCGTATGCGACGACAGCGGACGCGCTTATCTCAATCTGAATCGAATGGCAATTGTCGCCAGAAGATGATGGACAGCGCCTATTAATCGCCACTAATAGCATTTTTTGTTCAGATAAGCTAAGATAATGGTATTACCAAAGATTCGGACACGAATCGCACATGCTCTGTTTGTTAGGGAAAGAAATGTAAAAATTGATTTTCAAATACAAATCAAGCTTGAGATCAGGTCGATATTATGAAAAATACTTAGTAAAAATAATAAGTAAAAGAAAAACGTAAAAATAAAAAATAAAGAAATAGAAATAGAATAGAAAAATACTAGGTAAAAATACTTAATAAATATACTAAGTAAAAATAATAAGTAAAAGGAAAAGTAAAAATGAAAAATAGATTTTAAAATACAAATCAAACTTTAGATTAGGTCAATATTATTATTATGATTACCAAGTAAGGGAGAAAATAAAATGTATATTTTAAATACAAATCTAGCCTCAAGTCAGTTCAGTATTATGTAAAATACTAAGATCCTAATGATAAAAGTAAAAATGATAAAAAAAAAATTCGGAAACGAATCGAATATATTCTGTTTGTGAGAAAAATTCAAAATATATTTTAAAAGCCTTACATTAGTTCAATATTATAAAAAATACTAAGTAAACACTCGAAGTAAGGGGAAAAGTACAAAATATATTTTAAAATATAAATCAAGCTTCTCATCAGTAAACTATATTTTGCAAAATAATGAGATCCTAAGTAAGGAGAAAGAGTAAAAAATATATTTTAAAATAAAAATCAAGCCTTTGATCCTAAATACTTGTTCTGTGCTTTATCTATATTTAACACAATATATATAAGATATTTATTCTTATTTATATGCAAAAACTTTATTTAAAAAGTTTTTCACCTTGACTACACATTTTTTTTTGACGTTATGTTCTGATGCGAAATTTAAAAACAAAAGTAACGGAACCTAAGTAACGGACTTAAGTTTCAACAATTCCCATAACATATCCTGTAGCTAAGAAAACAAAAAATTCGAAATGGGTTTGAACCGCGACGGTTCGAAATCGCACGAACTACAACTTTGCCTTTTACTAAGAAGATAGTCTTAGCCGGAATCAACTAACGAAAACAGCCGAACCTTAATCAATTCCCCAGAAAAAAACGAGACCTGAAAAAAGGAAAAATATGACAAACCAAGATGTGAACCGAGAAAAAACATCATGAACCTAGCTTTGAAAAACCTAGCTTTGAACCTAGCTTGGACTTATGATATTTTATCACACGTCTCTATAACTATTAATTCTAGATACTTTGCTTTTAAATATATATCATTTTATATAAATAGGGTAAAATGAATATTTATTTGCTAGAAAAATATCCTAAGCCTGAACGAAGAAAGAGAAAATATATTATTCACACGGCACTTAATCTATAAATGCCCGATACTTTGGGTTTCTTATAAGCCTTTTTATTGAAATAATCGAAAATTCGATTGAAGATTATTGAAAATGTCTTACGATAAATATTATCAGCGCCAAGTTAAGCTGAGAACGGTAAACTTTATGCACGATAATCCATAGAATCAACATTAATATGTATATGTATATATATTTACAGGGTGTCTGTGGGACAGTCATACCCAAAGAATGTGATATTACTTTAGCTGGGCCATTTGCTTGTCTGGCTCTCACCTCAATTTCAAACATTTGTCATTTTGATAAGGCTCCCGAAAAATAATGCGTGTCATATGAGAACGACAAGGGCTTTCGGGTTGTAAGGCGGGGAGTAAGGGGGTGTAAGGGATCGGACCGCAGTTGATCCAAATGCCAGACGACGGGCTAATCTGGCCAAACACGTTGCACTGGGAAATGCACACAGCGTGTGGGCGAGGGCGAGGGCGAGAGAGAGAGGGAGCTGAGAGAGGGGGGGGGGAGGGAGAGGGAGTGGGAATTTCAAGTGGCCAGCGTTGGCGCCAACACTTGACTTTGACAAACATCGATGCACATTAATCATGATTGGGGGGGGGGGGAAACTCGTAACAGCATAATATTTGATGCGGGACAAAAAAGGTTCAAAATGCATTTAAATATGCGACTTAGTTTTAAATATACTCAATCAGCAAGGTCGTCGCGTACTTAAATGAAGCCATATGATATTGTGTTGGGGTTAGTTCTTAAAATATTATGGGGCTTTATAATGCCAAGTTCGTTGACTTGAACTTGGGCCTGGCAACGCCCCAAACGCCCCAAACTCCCCAAACGCCCCAAAAACCAGGAGCTGGGCATGTTTTCAGCTCAGATCTTAAATAATATTCCCACGAATTATTTTTCATATATTTTCATTTGTTTTTCCTCCACGGCGCCCAGCTTATTGTAATTTCTTTAGTATGGGACGTATTCTGCCTTAGTAATTACGATTTGAACAAATGTTCAATGATTTTCTTTATCGAAATTGGGCAAGTTTTATTAGATATTATAGTTGGACTTTTACCCGCCTAAGTTATTAATTATGTATTTATATCGCTCGTTCATTATAGGTGCTACGAATTTGCCCTGACTCATATCCGGTATTTCATAACCCTGCCCGATCGAATGATACCTTTTTAGTAGCCATTCGTATTAACTTTGGACTTTGGCAATACATATATACTATATATGCAGTCATTATTATTTCCCTATTTAAAGTATTTAAGTAAAGTATTTAGTTTTTTTAATAATATTTAAAGTAAATTTAGCAAAAGGATCTTCAAAAATGACAGCAGATGTAGTTTAAGATCTATGCACAGATATAACTTTCTTTATTTATATAAAATTTAAATTTATTTGAAGGCAGTAACTTCTGGATAATACTGGAATGAGGTTTGAATTATTTATCTAACTATTTATCCTATAGATGGGAAGAAAGATTAATTTACCTCTGCTTGTGCTTAGCCCCAAAGAAGTTATAGACAGTACGAAAGATAAACTTTTGCTATTCGTAATGATCTTTAAATATCTGGAGCTTTTATTATAATCTTTATAGAAAAATAATTTCTTTGAAGATCCTAATCAAATTTCTTAAAATTCGCTACATTTTTGCTCTTAATTAATCGAAAAACTCTAAGGAACTTTTTTCAATTACATTTGTCCCATCAATTCTTTTGAGTTCATTATCAAAATTCGTCTATTATTACAAATTCGGTACTTTTAGCTCTTAATCCTTGTAGCATCAAGTTTCTTAAGAACTGTCCTGATATTATGCAAATGTCAGCTAAGATATTAGATTTCAATTATTAAAACAAATATGTTCCGCTTTAAACTGAAAACCTCACGATATCTTCAATCGATAATTCTTAGCTTTGGTCTATATTGAAATATATTATATTTTCTTCATATAGAGCTCACCTTCACAATCGAGAAACGGGCTGTACTGATCACAATAGGCGGCTGGCTGTGCTGCCGCAGCGGCTGCCACCGCGGCGGCCTGAAAGTGTGGCATGAAGAGCGAAGAGTTCTTCTGTAGATTCAGCATTTGCTGATAGAACAACGAGGCGGGATCTGTGTAGACGGGATTGAAGCGCAGCGTTGTGGGCGTCAGCAAAGTGCCCCCCGTGCCGTGCTCCAGATTCTTGAGCGCATATTGTGCGGACAGATCGTATATGTTGGACGCTGGACTCCGGTCCGTGGGCGCAAATCCCGTTGCAGCAGCTGCGGCGCCGGGACTCGACTGTGTTGTTGCTTTTTTAATGCTCCCTTGGGTGGCTTGTGTTTTATGCTCCAGAATGTTGTCTATGGAGAAAGCGGACTTGTTCGCCTTAATCGTGCTGTTATCCATATTTCGACTGGCGATCCCCACAAAAGAGAGGCGACTTGCGACTTGAACGGGCGCCGACGATGAACTAATTGCTGGCCGTTCGCGAGGGTCCCCAATAAATTGTACTAAATCTGATTTCACAGAACATAATAGATTGTACATATACATATAATGTTGTGCTAATGGGTATTGATATCTACTATATTAACAATAATATAACCGACGCTATGTAGATACGCATGTATGTACATAGATAATGAATGGGGGGCTACTATCATCGATAAGGTCGCCGTCGCCCCGGTAGGCAGCCCCGATCCGGCCCGATCTGGCCCGATGGCCCGATGGCTCGTTGGCTCGGCCCTCAGTAGTTGGCAGTCCAATCGAGCCGATCCACCAGTCATATAAATCAAAACACTCGGGGCTTATTAAACACGCACACGCACACACGAGCATTGACAACACTGGCTGCGGCAATGTGTTGCCATCTCGTTCAGCGTATGGCCATCTCAGTTGCACGACAATATTGTCGGTACTTTTGATCGAGTAATTGTTAATCACCCGCTTATCAATATCGCTCGGACGTCGTTTCGACTTCTCGTTGTTCTCATCCTCGGAGCACAACTACTGTTCGTTTTGCTATATACCCTGTAATATAACCAGCGACTGGCATGTGCTCTGTTAAGAAAAATATTGTATATGTCCATAATATATACTTAATTGAGGAGAGCGTGTGGCTTTCGAAATGATATTTAGTTTCTGAGCACCAATATATGTATATTTAAAAACGAATCTTCCTTTCATCAATTTATGTACAACACTGTTTTTAAGTGTTCGAAATTAAAGAAGATAGTGTACTCAAATAAGCGAAAACAAACATTGACACGTTACGTAACGTGCCTCTATAAATCGAAAAGTTCTTCTTAAAATAAGTACTATAAATTTGGACTTTAATATTTTTCCAAATGCATTCGATTTCAACCTTCTACAGAGTAACTCGTGGTCGTGCAATACCCTAACTCAGCCGCACTCTCTGCTCCCATTCGCTTATTGTAGTTGTAAACAAATTAAAATTACCAATAGGCTCTCACCGGCTTGCTGCCGCCTGCCCCCGCAGAACTTTCCACGCACCGCTGCGATCCACGAATTTCGCTTTTGATTGAGTAATCGAGTTGTTGCTATGATTTGAGCCCTCTGGTTAACATTACTCTATATATTTGGGACTTTCGAAACAATTTATGCGTTTATACAACTGCTTTTCGGAGAGGGGTGGAGAGGTGGAGTAGGGGATGGAGGGAGGGTAGGTAGGCTGGCGGTCCCTTATCTGACGGGGTAGTCGGGGTCCCCTTAAAGCCTCTGAGATGATGGATTACTTTTGATTTTGGGCATTGGCGTTCGCGATAAAATATATACAAAATAAACGCGCCTAATTGTTGTTATTGTTATTTACTCGCTACCTGAGCGCGATATTGTTTTCAGGTCGCCGTTTGTATCTTTTAGATACAAGTATCTACATAGTAGATATCATTTCGAGGGCGAACTCTAAAGCGCCTATTCAACTATTGGAAATACAAAAGTCGAAGATACGTAAGTATTCCCCTTTTGGTAAAATTTTTGTTAACCTAACTGTAAGACTTATATCCTACTATGTGTTCTGAAGCCTGATTTTCTTTAAACATAATAACTATCTTCTAAATTTCCCATATGTATACCAGTCTTTAGCTATTATAATATTATGTTCTGAAGAAATGAATTTATCTTATTTTCAGATAAGTATCCAATCAATTCCGATAAGCTTCTAGTTCCGGTAAATAATAAAAACCGACTATAATCGTAAAGCCATACAAATTTCTCTATAAATAGCAATTAATAAGCTATTTTTGATTACCCGACGGGTTTTTTTTTTGTGACATTTTTGACTCAAATTCGTAGAAAGATAATCAAATTTGGGGTTTCAATTGGTTCACATGGCAAAAAAGAAGGTAATCAAAAGACGCATGCCCAAATATCAGGTAAAAGAAGGGGCACACGAGCAATTGATAAACAAATTTTGAAATATTTGCCAGTTTATCGTAAGCATGATAATTTTATTATTTAATTCTTAATGTTATGAATGAAGCCGAGCATGACAATAATATTTTGATAATATGCTGCTATCAAAACTGGAAAAGTTCCATTTAAATCCACCCTCAGGCAACATTGAATGGCCTTTAATGTTTGTAGCTTAAATAGTTTGTATTTTATCAATAGAAGCTAGATAGATGGTGTTCCCATTTCGAGCAAGCGTACTTATTTTGAAAAGTCAGTGCTGTAAAATGTTTGTTTATCCCGTTTACATGCGCCCAACTGTATGCTTTGTTTTCGCAAGCAGTCTTTTATAACTATTTACTTTAGTTAGCTAAGATTATATTTTCCATGTTCCTGTCAAAGTTAACAGCTACTTTCACACTTCAAAGTAAGTTTCGTAAAGGATCGTATTTTTGTCAGTTGATTTACCTGACAATGCTCAAGTTTGACTCTAATTACTATTAAGCTCATTCCCATGTTCTTATCAAGTTTCACAAGTTGATCTGCCTGTCAGTGCTTGGCTCAACAGTTGACAGGCAGATAGCCTTGCAGGGTTGCCACCATTGCACATTTGAGAATTGTATGTAAGCGAAAAACAGCTTGTAATTGACAGTTTAGTCAGTTGCTAGATTATTTTCAAAGCAATGACGGGGCGTTGCCACATTTTAATACAGTTACCCTACTCTACTTTAAGTTCCTGGCAACTTTGACAATAGGTTAAGAGCTCGAGCGGAATAAAACCTGGATAAATACTCAATGAAAACTCTATTTTGCGCACGGCTTTTGCGGCCATTTTGAATATTCAACTACATGAATCACAATTAGTATTTAAGGTGCTTATAGGCATTGAATGGTATGACAATCGCTGCCTTCAAGATTGCTGCATAAACAAGCCTCAGAATTGTACTTAAACAAATTACCAAATGAAAACCTTGATAAAAAAAAGAAAAAAAAAATAACCGAAATTATTTCGAATGTGAAACCTAATAAACAAACGCTTGATTATAAATATAAATGCACCCGATTCGAGGGAATTGATCGCCGTCTGTGGGCCACAAAATGCCAGTTGGCAAATAAATGATAATGGTATGTCGTTGGCGCGGCTTAAGTTTCGTCAAGTGACACTAAATTATTAGCAATTATCGGAGACAAACGGTTCGAAACGACTTTAAAATTGGGCATAAATTTGCAGTACAATGAAACTAAACAACAACAAAAATTAAATAAAAAGGAGGATCTCTTCGAAATTTATTATGTGTCTGAAAATTGAAGCCGAGCCATGTGATAAGAAGCGTCAGAAATATAATTCTGATAGGCATGCTACAATAATTGGCATGTTTCACATTTTGAATGATCGTCAGGGGCGTCAATACATCAAATTTCAATCATTCATGCTAAGACTCAAATATGTTGGCTCTTTATTTATATAACTTTATTCATTCTCATGCTTCAACCATTGCGTTTTACATACGTACATATTTATATATGTTCAATTGATTTCTGGTTCTTACAGCTTCGTATTCAGATATTTATATCTATATATATATATATTTGAATATTTGTGTAAAATTGTTGTTTTACAGGTATAAACTAATTGATTAAATTGTTTGCGCAGCATTGTCTGAATTATCCACTTTTATAACATTTATTTATTAGTTAATGCACACGAATAAATATTTATATATATATGTATATAGCACTAAGTTGCTGCACGTAATTTTAAAGCAGGTTTCTATTTATTGAATTTAATCAGTTATTGCATTCGCTTCTTGTTTACAGTACATTTATAATTATATTTCTATTTATAGTATTTATATATTTATATGCTTCACAAGTTGTTCAATGTTGCAGTTTTTGAGAGTTGTTTTTTGTGTGTGTATTGAGTATTACGCTTGGCTTTTTTGTTTGAACTTTCATAAATTAAAATGCGAAATAAATAAATAATATTAAAATGTCACACACATTAGGTTAACACTTTCAAATTTAAATTCATATGTTTTTTTTTAATTTCGGTATTGGATTAGATCTGTTTTATCTTTTTGGTTTGATAAGCACTACACATTACAATGCCGATAAAAGTTCTGAGTATTTGTTGTTAAAAATTAGGCAGCCTAGGCATACAATTAAATTATTTGAATTAGATTAGAAAATTCAAGTAGCAAAAAATTATTAGTATAGTTAAAGTTAGGAGTTAGTTAGGAGCTGTTGACCTTCTCAATTTGTATAAATACAAATTCAAGCAGGTAATTAAGTAAGTTTAGGATAGGTTAATAACGTTTTACATATTTGTGTAGATACATATATATATATATGTATATATATATATATATATAGGTATGCTCATTGGTATTTGATTAGTTATTTAAATAGCTATCAAAGCTCTCTAGACCAGATTGGCCACATGCGTTGTGTCCATGTGCTGTATTAAGACGTGTATAAAGGACATCTCCTTGCGCGCATTCTCCAGTATCACCTTGGGATCATCTGAAGTGCAGCGCAAACAATTTGGCGCAAACACCATGGCCAAATTCGATGAATCCATTTTGGTGCAGCTAACCACTTCCGAAATGGAGAATTGTTGCAGAAAGTGTATTAAATACGTTAGGACCTATTTATAAAAGAAACCAAAAATTAAGTTAATTAGCGAGTTACTCAAAAGCTAGAATTTGTTAACTGACCAGTTGATTAATTTGTGGCAACTTATTAACTATTTCTTTGGCTTTATCGGGATCCTCGGTATTCACACAATCCTCGTAATAATCATCGGGTATGAGCGGATCGTACAGTTCACGATACCATAACTTAAGCAGACTAGCGGGCGCATGTGCATCAACTGCGGAAACAAATTAGGGTCTGAGTATATATAGATAAGGTCTGGTTCATAGCTAACACACACCCATAGTATTCTTATAGTCAGGAACATCCCATCGATCCAAGCGATTCTTCATGCAATTGACCTCATCCACATCGGCGGATACACGAAAAATGCCCTCCGTTTGTTTGCCATTGAGCAGCAGCACCTAGAAAATACGAGCAATATTAAGGAGCTGCATGCCAGACTTCAGTTAGGGTATTACTTACATGCTCTGAGAGCGTGGTTTGTATCCAAGGCAGTTTACGCAATGGAAATTTATCCTTTTGTAGATCCATCACCTCGGAGAGCGTATTGCCAAACATGCTATTGCGAAGGATTTGTTGCTGCAAATAAAACAAAATTAATTATAAAACAATTATTAAAGAAACAGACAGACAGAGGGACATGGCTATATCAGCTGAGATATATAATATATGCACTTAATGTTCCATAAGTATAGGATATTCAATGTAAGGGTATAATAGGTACTAATAAAAATTATTTAAAAGAATGCCAGCTAACCCGCGCCTGTTCCACCTCATCCTCGGTGGGCTTCTTAGCCAAACGGCGACCGCTGCTGCCGATGCGATCCAAGCGGCGACAACAAACAGTTGCATAATGCGATATCTGAACATGTATGGGCCATTTGCACACCTCCAGGAAGCCGGTGGCAAACGAAGGATCACGATGACGATTCACATAGCTGCAAATGAACAACCGGATTAGAAGCTATAATGGGCTCAGGAACTTGTGGCACCTACTTGAGCAGCGTGGGCTGAAATGTGGGTGACGGCGGCACAAAGCTTAAACAAATGGCCATTAGCTCCCAGCCGCGTATAAGTGACTCGCGCTTGGGATTCTCTGTGGTCTGACGGCATAGCTGCACATAAAGCTCATCGCGTAGTCTGGCAAAGAAATACATAGGATAAGACGTTGAATATGAAATTAGATCGAGTTATATATACTAACTGCTGCTGCGGCAGGGAGGCGGTTATGATATCTATGGCCACCGAGTTTAGGCTCATGCCAATGCGCGCCTTGCGATCGCCCATGTAGATTTGGACCAGCTTGAATAGCTCAATGGCCGTCTTTTTGTCGGCCTTGTCCCGCGACAGCGCCAACATGGGTCGGGTAATGGCCTCCGCCGTCCAGCTAAGCATGTCGCGCACCGATGCCTTCTTGCGAAAGATGCCCTTCGAGTGCAGATTCAAATTGTCAGCGGCGAATTTCTCAATATCACATTCCTTCATGCACGCCAGCGTTGCGGCGCCGGGCGCCCGCTCGCTGGGCGGAAAGATCTGCTGTATGGTGGGCTTTAGCGATGGCGGCGCCAGCTTGTGATTGCCGCCACGGCTCAGGCTGCTGCTGCCCGCCGTTGATTGCGCGACAGTTGCCAAAAGCTGCGACTGTTGCTGCTGCTGCTGCTGCAGCTGCTGGGGGTGCAGCTGCTGGCCATGATTGGCTTCCTCTTTGGTTAACTGGCCGGTGACTAGACGCGAGATTTGACGATTGGGCGAGGGCAGAGTTTGTGATTGCTTCTGCTTGACGCTGGACGCATCGCTGGGATCCAAATGCAGCTGCTGCTGATGCGGTGGCGGCGGTGGCTGGCCCAAGCCATGAGCATGACCGGCGAACGGATAGGAGGGCGTATTCGAATACAGCTGCTGCTGATGATTATGCTGCTGGTTATACTGATGGCCCTGACCCGCCAACGATGCGGGGCTGTGCGAGACGGTGTCATAGTATGAGATCTGATAACGGGCTTTCGGCTTGGGCGCAGCAGCAGGCTCCTGATTGCTTCCAATACCCTCCAGCACGGCCTCCACGTTATCGGAGCTGTAAAATGGTAAAACAGGATTAGTGAATGATATCAATCGAGCGATAAGTCCGGCATATATCAGCTATATGTCTTACATTTCCTCGCGTCCAGCTGGATCGTAGGGCGGATACTGATAGGCATAGTAGGACACGCTGTCGCCCATATTGGCATAGTCATCGATCATGCCATAGTTGTGCTCCAAATAGCCGCCATGCGTATCCGAGCCACCATCGGAGTCCTCATTGTCCGGCTCATGACCAGAGAGCGAATGCTCCGACTGGCTATCCGAGTGATACGAGTCCGAATCGTTAACACCGTCGCCATCGCCGCGATAATCGTAACCACCACATAGCTTGGCCTGCTCAATGATGTAGTGCTTGAGCGGCAGCAGATGCGGCATCTCCTGGCCACAATTGCTATACAGCGGCGATATGTTGCCATTATCGTACTCCACATCGCTGCTGTCCGCGTGCAAATGCTGTTGCGGATGATGATGCGTTTTGGCGCGACGCGAATCACGCTTCTCACCAGCATTTTGTAGGGGATGATAGCCACGCTTGTCCAAGCTGGAGCTGGCGCTGTGCCGCAACGAGCTCTGACCCGGATAATGATGCGATTGCGAGCGATTTGCCGTCGAGCTATTCGATTTTTGCCGCCTTGCCGCTGAATCATTGGAGCCCCTGGACGAGTGTGTTAGCATACCAAGATTATCGGAGCCACCGCTGGGCGAAATTGGCGCCGTTTTGCCCAGCGACATGCGCTCCAAGCTGAGCCGATCCAGGCCGCAGCTGGGCTGCTGCAGTTGCTGCGCCAACTGTGGCGGCGGATTTGTGGCACTTGTTTTGGCCTGACGCGAGCTTTTCGTTTGCGGACTAATCGGACTTTGTGGACTGGAGTCGCTCGAGTGTTTCTTGTGGCCGCTGCTGCCGCTGCCGGCGGTGCTGGTGGCGGTATTGCTGCCACTTGCCCCGCCGCCATGCCCCTTCGTATTGGTTGTGTGGCGTCGCCGCGATAGCGGTGTATTCTCAACCGATTTAAAGTACTTTTCGTGCATGGAATCATCGCTGGCGGCGCCACCATAAACAGCACCGCCAACACCACTACCGACGACGCCGCCGACGACGCTGCCGCCATTAGCCTCGGCGCTGCTTTTGCGATACGATTTGCTGTGATGTCCAGCGGCGGCAGGATTTATAGAGGAGGACATAAAGCTGCCGGAGCGCGCCAGTGCGACCTTGTACTCACGATCTGTCAAAATGAAAACGTTTAGTTCGATATTTCATATCTAAAAACATTTTCAATAAACTTACCGCCCATGGCCGCGCCAAAGGATTTGCCTGAAGTGGGCGCAGCTGCTCCGCTGCGTTGTGCGTTGCGTTGTTGCTGCTGTTGTTGTTGTTGTGCGTAATTGTACTGTCGCTCGGCATCTGGGGATATCTTCTTCTTCTGCGCCTGCGGCGTATGTATCGAATGTGTGGGTGAGGCAATATCGGATGACTTGGAGGAGCAATAGCCCTGCATATGGCTGGGCAGCAGCTGATGATCAAAGTATTTGTTGCTATCAACGACGGCGGCGACACTACCACCAACATACGATGAGGGCGTGGCCGAGCCATGCGGTAAATTATGTGAGCTGACGCTTTCTTGCAACATTTCAAAGCTGATGATAGCGAGAGAGAAAGAGAAAGAGAGAAAGAGAGAGGGAGAGAGCGAGATATGAGATAGTTGTTGTTTTTTTTTGTGATGAGTGTATATGTATGTGTGGGTGTATTGGCAGGTGTTTACCAAATCAGTATTCAACCAAAGACAATATAAACACTCAGATGAGCAACGCCATACAACAAAAAGCAGCTACTATGCAGCTTGATTTTTTTGAAATTGAGAACACAAACGAACTCAGTATCATTGCGCTCTCTCAACTGAAAGAGCGTTAAAGCTAAAAAATATAATGTACTCTCAGCTTCGGATCTATGAGAGCGAATGGTGACTAACTTCGTTGCTCGTGACAGCATCAACAAGCCGCGACTTCGGCATTCGTTCGTCTGGCTTTTGGAGAGCGAACAGCCAGTCGGCTGTTATGTCATGTGAAGTGGGAAAAGCCAGATGAGAAGCCAGGCTAGAAATTTTGCGTCGCTTTCAAATGCATGGGCGGTACTCATTAGTGTTTATATTGTCTTTGATTCAACCAATAAAATCACCCTTGCAACTATAACTATGGTATGGTATATTCTAATCCTAGCTCGAAAAGATCCTAATCTTATAGCAGCAAGCTCTCAAAGATTGCTAGAAATATTCGTTAGTAAGAAACAATCTACATCCTGCCTAGTTTTTAGTGTGTTAAATGCGAGAGCAGTTGGTTGTAAAGTTATGAGATATTATTGAGAAAAAGAGATGTTCCATAAAAATGTTTTTAAATAATATGGAAAAGAGGTCTATTTTAAATATATTATTGTTTTGGCGACCCTATTGTAATATTAATCATAATAGTTTAGGTTATGTGACTCTTAAATTGGTTCATAAAACTTTTTCAAAATTAAGTCTAATTAAACCTTTGATGGTAAAAGAAAATGTTTTTATTTCTATAATATTGGCTATGATAGATATTTTTCCATAAAATGAGAAATCCTATTTTTTCTGGTAAATTCAAAGCCTTACGTTACTCTAGCTATCGAAAGGTTGCATTTAATGAGAATCTCGAATCAAAGAACATATGGAATTCAAGATGACAAATCTGTAAAATACCAATATGCAGTCTATAGCTGATGGTGTTGAAAAGCGCATACAAGATCCGTTAACGATGTGTAATTCTAAATGCATAACACATACGCCTAGTAGAACAAGCGTTTGACATAAGCTAACATGACCATTTCCAATCCATAGAAACCAAACCTTAACATGAATTGCTTGCATCTAGCAACAACTACCAAATGCCAACCGAATTACGATCAAGACTTACGCGCCATTATCCTTGCCAGCGCGTTGCTGCTTCTGTAAGGAGCCGAGACGCAGTGCCTCATTGGGCACATTGGGAGCACCATTGGCGGCATCGTTGAATCGCCGATAGCCATGGGCGCTGGACAGACTCGAATCGCTCGACTTGCCCGATTCCTTGTAGTGACTGCAAGAATCTATGCGAGAGAAAGGCAAATTAGTGTTGATTTGCAAAGAGAAATGGAAATGACATCATGCAGCTGCTTACCTTGCGAACGGCGGGAGACATAGCCCTGCAGTTGCTGCTGCTGCTGCTGTGGCGGCTGCTGCATGTCCATCGAGCGAGCTGAGTCACCTGTGCCGACGCTGCAATAGAAGTGGACCAGGTCATAAATAAATCAAATGACAGGTCATTTAGATAGAAGCCCACCGAAAACTTTGACGGCCTCGTGGACTAGAGATCATTTCATTGCACGCGGAACTGCTCAGCTTCTCCTCGGAGCTGGCCATGGTTCCGTTGCCGCGCTGGCCACGCCCCTTCTTATTGGCCGCCGATATGGGCGATGGCTGCTGTTGCTGTTGCTGGGTTTGCTGCTGCTGCTGCTTAGCCAGCAGAGATTGCTTCTGGGGCGTGGTCTGCTCCCGTCGCTCGCTGGGATCGGTGTTCTGTTTGAGGGTCTGCAGCTTGGCCAGCGGTATGATGTCACACTTGCTCGGCCGATGCCACACGGTCTTCTGCGTGGCCGCATTATAGTAATAGAAGCGCTGCGTATTCGTATCAAACAATTCCCACCATTGCGATGAGTCGGTCCGCTTAATTGGCACATCCTGTACAGAGTCAGAGTCAGAGAGAGAGAGAGAGAGAGGGAGTGAGAGAAATGGAAATGAATCCAAGCGAATCAAATGAGCAAATCTCATATATCATAACTGGCTTGCATAAAGCTCTAATGCACGAGTGTGTGTGTGTGTATGTGTGTGTGTGGGTGTGTGTGTGCGTGTGTGTGGGAGGTGTTATGTACAATTATGTATGTGTTGAAATTGTCGAGTGCATTGGATTATGCGCTTATTGAATGAATATCATTCACATCATTCATGCGCATAAACCATGCACATTTTATCAAATGCTTGAGAATTATTTGGAAAATGATAAAATCATGTTTTTGTTTTTTTGCTTTTTCTACTAAATAAATAATTGGTAGCAGACATTAACTTTGGCTTTGACCCAGGCCAATGTTTCCTTATCTTATCATACATAATTTAACATTTGTTTTTTACACATTTTCCGATCGTGTTCGTCGATTTGGCAAAAGCGATTAATCAAGCATTTTGTAGCCGAATAAAATTGGTTAGTTGGCTCTTTGTGTCGCGTCCGTCAAAGATCTCGCCTTAATCTCGCACAGTGCTAACCCATTTAAGAACATATATTTTCTTTTGAACAATTATTTCCTGGAGCCTTCAGAAATACTAAACGCAACGAATAATAATTAGACCATATATCATAAGACATTTGTCAGCATCAGCATTTTATGCATTGCATCCAATAGGTTTCTAAGGGTAAAGCAAAAGCACCCCACCCCCCACTGCCCTCCCCATCCCCTCGTTTAAGTATTATATTTCAACAGAATTGACGTAAACGTGTCGTCGCTCAAATTCCCCCCTCCCCCCCTTATCTACCGATGTCTGTCGTTTATTTAACTCAATTTTTATGCAACAATACTTTGCAAAACAGTTTCGACGCAAGGGTTCTCTGTGAATTTGCGGCTTAATCAGCGAATTTCGAGCTGCAATCAGCTGCATCTTTTGGCCCATTTTATTGTTGGCTTTATAATCGTGCCATCAGCTTTTGACAAATAAAAACTCATGTCTACTTTTTGCCCAGGCTCAGGCTATTATTTTTAGCTATCTCTTTCGGTTTGTCAGCAGCCCGTCTCTGTCCGGCCCGTGGCCAAGTTGGCTTCATTTTTCCTTGCGTTGACCTTGAACTTTGCAGCTGCAGCCGCAGCAGCAGCAGCAGCAGCTGCGCCCAAGCGGAGAGACAGGCCCTGACCCAGGCCCAGGCCCAGGCACAGGCGAGGGCCTCTTCATTTCTCCTCTTGTCATCTGCGACATTGTTGTTGTGGTTTGTTGGGTCTGATAACAGCAACAATGCAGTCAAGTCCGCCCACTGCGCGCTTTTGCATTGAAAGCTTTCGGCTCGGCTGGCTTTTCATTTCTGGTTTTCATTTCCATTCTCATACGTCGCGCGCATTGCATAATTTTTTGTGGGCGCGGGCGCAGCCAACGCGCTGATTGGGACAAGGCTAACAGCAGGGAGAAGCATCAGCAACGTTACGCTTTTTGCATTGTTGCGTTGCCAACTGTCAGTCAGTCAGCCAGTCCGTCATTCCGTCAGTCTGTCAGTCAGTCATTCATCCGTGCAGCCGTTGAGCCGGACAGTCGGATAGACTGACAGCGCTTAAGTGGGTCTATTTCATTGTGAGACCTTCCACTTTGAACCTCCCCACCCCGCCTGCCGCACCACACTCTGTTGTTTATTCCAGCGCGTGCCACATGCAGCAGCAGAAGCCACAGCAAAAGTAGCGCAAATAAAAATCTTAATTACAGCAACACGAAGTTTATATGCCCTTACTGCAATACTTCTTATATTACAAGTTAATTACGATAAATGCTATTCCGATATTAACCAAAGTTCGATATATCGATAAATTGTCTAGTCGATTATCGATTGTTAGTACTTTAGCTAGTAACACTAGAAATGAAACGCAATAAAATATAGAGTGTGACAAGTTCCGGTATTAAACATCAAATATCGATAAATCGATAAAATGCAAAAATCGATATTTCGATAAAAAATATACAGTATTTAGTAATGTGTTTGACTAACTATTTGTGACGCTCTTTCGAAAAATGTATTTAATTTATGATATCGATAGTTCGGGCAATCGATTTATTTACTTAACAAAAGTATCGATAATCCTATCGTTGTTTTAATTTTCAAAATGTTCTTTTGTGATTAAGCTGTGCAAACAAAATGAATTAAAACTTCACAGTATTCCCCTCCTGATGCTTACACTAAATAAAAGTATGGACTGATGTCAGCGTCTCCATTTGCTGCCTTCGACACGTCCTCATTTCGGCCTTGTGCGATATACCGAATATTTTGTAATTATGGAAATACAACAACTACAACAACAATAACAACAACAACGAGGCTACATCTTTATCTCATTGATGGAATTTGTGTTTTTGCCTCCATTTAAGAAAATGAAATTAGAGCAACGCGCACACTGTCAAAATATCTGAGGAAAATCTGTCAAAATTAATATGCATGGATTATATTTGTGTACATATTTGCGGAGCAGTGGATAAAAGCGTAGCAGAAGCTGACAATATTTATAATTATTACTCATACGCAAATACGCACCACAACATTTAACTATGAGTCAAATGCATACGATAATATTTTTAAGATTTTTAATAATAAACAAACTGTTTCGAGATGAAAAACAACGAAAAATAGCAAAGTTTTCTATGTGATATAGAACTTTAAGAGAGATATGAATAAGTTTTTGTAAATAGTTCGAAAATTGGATTTCTCAAAAGAACAAAAATCAATACAATACAGATTTAAGTCCATTTAAGACCTTAATGTGTTTCAATACATTTTTCAGTTCTTTACGGCAGCGGAAGATGGGTGGAAAATGCAAAGCTAAAATTTTGAGTAAAACTCCTGTAATATCATGTTAAGCCTGGCAAATCTTTATCAAATTTTAACTGAATTAGGCGATATTTTTATTGCTAGTAAACTTTTGTATGAAGGCGGCATATTTTTGGCATCTAAAATAGAAGCTGGCAGCGTTTTAATTGCCCAAATTCCATTACTCCAATGAAATTCAATTGCTTCGCAAGACTCATGGATAAGTTGCGCATTCCTGATCATTATAAATTCATTAAATTTGCTAAATTTAGATCGCATATTATTCTCTCGGCCCTATTGAAAAACAATTAAGCTTTTAATCAGTGGAAGAAACATACACAAATAGGCACGCACAGTTTCTAATCAGCTCCGCCTATTGCCGAGGTCAGTAATGGAACCCAATCCCAAGTCCCCTCAACATAAATGGGCAGCACATCTGTGAGTAATGCGCAAAGAGCCAGAGAAAAATTCGTTAATTAGGTCATCGTCGATGTTTAAAAAAAAAAAAGAGGAAAAAACAAATAGAAATAAGAAAAAAAAATAACATAAACTTCAAGCGCAGCAGAGGCCTAAAAATAACACGGGCGATAACATCTGACTGCAATAACAACAACAATTGAAATATTTCAAGAATCTTTTCGCAAATTAAATTGAAAATGTGTCATCAGTTGGCAAAAATGTGACTTTAACGGCATTTTTATAGAGTTTATTATCTGTTCTCCTAGCCTGGCGTCTGCCTGTCTGCAAGAAGAGTCTTCAAGTTTGGTAATACTCAAAATATCTACATAATTTAATATAAAACTAGGCTTTCAGGAAATTAGAATTTTCCACTAATTAAAATAACTTCGAGTCAAAGTCTCACATTTTAATCCCAAACAGCTTTTATAAATAGAGTTTTACTAAATTTTGTGTGGTGTTGAAACAATTTGTAGAGCATCAGAGAGGTTGCATAGACTCGACAGTGGCACAATTTTAATTGCCGTAGATTGATAATGAATTGAATTAATGGCGCGTGCACAGTTGTGGACAATATTTCTAAGCAAAATTGTAAAAACTATAAAAAAAATAGAGATATATAAGAAAACATTGCTAATTATAGATTATAGTATTTTCTTGGTTCGAAAAACTTATAGCCTCAGGGGAACTGATAAAAACATGTGTTTGACATTAAAAATGATTGTTTTTGATTTAAGTAAAACCGATGAAATCTTTGAGAAAGTAATTCCAAATAAAACCCTCTAAGCCCCTAGTTTCCATAAATGGAGTTTCCTAAGTTTCCCCCCACAGCCTTCTTATAGTTCCATTAATGACGCAAGCTCTGAAACCGATTTCGATTGAGTCAGCTTTGGATATGAGAATTGGGAAACATTCAACGAATTTGAATGACAAATAAATTTGCTTTATAATAATATCCATTCTTTGATGTGGGGTAGCATTTGATATAGTGTGCAACTGATAAAAGAGAAATACAGTAAACATTCACTTAAGCGAACACCTAGAGCTAACCCAGGACAAAAGGCTGTTTATCAAATCAATTAAGCTCCTCCAAAGAAGATATATACAGAGATAAGGGTAAATAATGATTTATTTAGCTTTCACTGTGCAACCGAAATATTAAACTATTATTATTATTTAATTATTAATCGATATTGGTTTAAACGCAATCAACAAGTCGTAATATTTCCTGTAACTGATGCATGACGTGGGCCTCGAGCCGGGCAATGTAACAACCTCTAATAACCGAAATCTATTAGCGATATTTATGCGCGTTTAATTGCCAATGTAATTGCCAACAAATTTATGCAGGCCGTGCAACTTGGCCAAGCTTATAACCCACTTGGCAAGAAGAAAACAAATACACAGGAAGTCGCTGCGGCCAAAAACGGTAATGGCGATAACTATGCGATAGTCCAACGATATATAATGAAAAAGAAAACTGAACAACAATTTGAAATATTTTGACGATTGCGTAGCACCGGCTCCAAGCCCAAAAGTCACCCTCTGCGGAGCCACTGCAGCCTTTGGTTTTGGGCCGCTTTGGCGGACGCACGTAAGCATTATCGTTGACTGCTTCTTTGCGCTTCTCTCCTCTACTCTTGTGTCGTTTTGTAACACTAAACGAGCGTGTGGGCAACTTTTCTGTGCTTCTTTCTTAACCGGAAGTTTTACAAAGGCCAATGAGCAAAAAGTATGAAAAAAGAAAATAAAGCAGCCCGGCATCGAGCACTGAGGGGGAAGTAAGCCAAGAGTTATAATAAAAAGCTTAGGTGCAATTCAAAGCACAAGCACGAAATACCCTTTAATTGGTGAGAAACTTATGAAATAGAACTTGCTTATGGTTCGTTTCGGAGTACAAAGTTCGTACTATGAACCAGCCGTAACAGCCGTGATCCGATTCAAGATTCCGCTTGTAGCAATTTGAAAAACGGTGCTTTACAAAACTGGTTTTCAGCCAATATACCCCATTTCTCATTATGCTTACAGGGCATACACAAAATAGGCAGTGGACTCAACTTGCTGTGCATAAATTTCAAATCACGTACAATGAACGCAGCAATTGTTGCTGTCTTTGTCTTCTATTATTGTTGTTGTTGCATCTGCTGGTGACACAAAAAAAAGAGCAGCAGTAGCAGCGGCAAGAAGAAGCAGAAAAAAAAGAAGCGACGACGTCATTAAAACATAAAAGCTGCCAACGGCAAAGCGACAACAAAAACAAAAACAAAGTTGTTGCTAATTTAAAGCGCGTTTGCAGCTGGGTGGGCGTAAGAAAGAGAGAGGGGAGAGAGAATAAAACTAGAGGTGAGGGTGAGAGTGTAAAGGAGTGCATGTGTGTGTGTGTGTGTGGTGTGTTCCTTTTGTGCCCTGTGCCCGTGCCTGTGCCTGTGCACGGTATGCTGCATCAGCTGAATAGATTATATTGCGCAGCTAAAAGGATTCCTCGTTCACTTCCTCATGGCAACTCGGCAATAGCTGCAGTGACATCTGCGTCGGCGCCAGCAACATTGCTGCAGCAGAATTTAGGGCATGTGGTAGGGCTATTCCATGTGCCAGTAGGGTGCAGTGAGGGTAGCTGTGACTGCTTGTCCTGACTGCTTGACTGACTGTTATAATAAACGCTAAGCCCATCCCATAAAGCCAACAATGCTGATTTTTTAAAGTATTTACTTTTTCAGACTTTAGTAATAAGAATATTTCCCACAAGGCTGCAAAATATGTGCAGAATGAAAACAAAAAACGGACTTTATTATGTGGACATATGTAAATCTGTAATAATACAAATATCTGCAGCTCCATTTACTTATATTTATATTCTTTTCAAATTTATTTATTATATTAAAATTATGTTTGTATGAATTCTGCCCAACGTAATTTGAAGTGTATTAAAAGGTGCGACTTATCAGTAATAAAATTTCGATTAGCGCTCACTTCCTGCAGCGCAACACGCGGTCACACGGCGAACCAGGCAAAAGTGTTGTGAAGTGTGGGCGATGACTCAAAAGAGAGCGAGAGTGACAAAAACCGAAAAGCAGCGTACAAAAACACAACACACACATGCACACACACACACACACACACATTGACGAGAGAGTGCATTCAGAAGGCTTCGCTTTTTAGCTGCTGAGCAACTGCTTAATGCACATACACATATGTGTGTGAGCATGTATGTGTGCATCTACATAGCTGCAAAAGGGTCGCAATAAATCTCTGCGTAAAATGGACAATAACACCCTAGTGAAGCCAAAGGCAAGGCGAGGCAAGCGCCATGCACTGCATGTCCTGTGCACTAAGGCGGCTGCACTGTGCATGCAAGTCTTTTCAGCAAGGACGCACACACACACACACACACATAGATAATCACACGCACGCATGAAAAACGAGGACGCAGTCGGGGACATTGCGGAGCCCAACAACAAAATCAATGAAATTTTCACTACTTCCGGCAGTACAAAAAAAACTAAGCCTGCTCTAATCGGGACTGATCGCATAGGAGATACTCTGTATTAATAATCAGCAACAGCTGTGCCTCTTCTTCTTCACTACACGCTGCCACATTACGAAATATTCATTCAATAATAACTTCTAATAACATAATGATGATCACGAACACTTCTTAACAGGATCGAATATCCCCATATTCATTATGTAGGTACAGGGTATACAAAAAAAATAACAAAGCTAAAAAATAAGCAGAGGTATATCTACGTTATGACGTGCACTGAAAGAACTTTTGCTTCTGTTGGATTTGTTTGCTTTAGAGCTTTGGCTCTCTGGCCAGACGTCTAAAGTTATTAGCCTGCGACACCTTTTGGTAATGCCGCATTTCAAAGGGAGACTAGTGTGTGGAGTGAAGAATGGACAAAGCGTCTAAAGGAGCTATGCAAACAACTCGCCGCCGTCTCTGACGATGATGTTTTGTGTGCTCAGAAAGCAAAAGTTGTGACTGCATGCGAGAAGAAAGGATATACATTTAAGTAGGGTATACCCTCTGTACATATACATGTGAGCACATGTGCGCTAGATGTCAATTGCATAATGTTGACATTCGATATTGATCCGTCTATGTTTTACTTTAAGTTGTCTATATTTTGTTTGTTTGCCCTCACAGAATGTTTAAGTGAAATGTAAAACGACCATTAAGGATATACCGCCAAAGAACTCAACTAACGGGTAACTTTCTTGGCCCACTTTACCTTTTTAATTGGGTATTGAGGGTGGATACCCAGCTCAAGAGATTATCCACTGTATTCTTCACGGTTTTTATAAACAATTTTCTAAACAACAAGTGTAATCTAACTTTTAACCCAGTTGTTATTAACCGATTACATAAGCTCATGCCCTATGCCAATCGAACGAATGTTACGCAAAGAATTGGTTTAAATACAATTAATTAACATTGTTTACGCCATTGACGAACTGGGTCAAATAATTTTCCATAAACATATGTGTATATGTGTAGGTTTTGCTGTAAAATTTGCAAAACAAGTGACCCATGTCAATTAAGCAAAAGCCGAACAAGAAGGCAGAAGTTATGCGCAACATACCGAAGATTCTGTGCCCTTACTACATAGTAAATGCTCGCAAATTAGAACAGTACGCTTGAAATAAGTTTTCCTAACAAAAAGTGGTAAACTAATGAATATATAACAAAACAAATTTTCAATTTAATGATTTCTAGACATCAATTTTCTGTACAAACTGCAGAAACGATTTTTCTTAAATTATAAAAATTTTGATCCTAATGCTTTAAAAAATGCGATAACTATTTATTTGAAGATTTTAATTTTAAGAAAATTAAATTATTTACGTTAAAATAAAAGCTTGATATTGTATGATTGCCACGGAGTATTAATGCTTAAATTATAATACCCAAGGTAAGGGTATATAATATAAGCCTGATAAAAACAAATGAGTTCATTAATCCCAATATGGCAATTGGCGTGCGAGTGTTAATGAAGCGTACTGTATGTACTATGTGTAAATAAAATAATTAATTTAATTATTTACACGTAGATCGTAAACGATTTGAGGAACTTACCTCGGGTGGATCCCAGACGCACTCGCCAGTTGTTAAATTGGCGTACATGTGCTCCTTGGTGCGTGGTTCGATAATTTCTACCCATTCTATTCTGTAAGCCAAAAAGAGAGCGTGAGAGTGAGTGTTAGAAAACGTAACATAAATAAAGATATTAAAAAGGCGAGATGCGAGTGTGTTGCTATTTTAAAGGTAAAAGGCATCTCTGGAATGCAGCACACAACGCACTGTGGAAGGTAAAACAACAACAACAACAACAACCAAATTTAAAGAATTGAGTGCACACGCAGACAAATTTCGTTCAATATATCATTTATTCATTCATTCATGAATGCAAACACGCAAAAGATGTGTTGCAAAAAAGGAACAAGCCAGAAAAATAACCCAAAAATAAAAATACCACCCACAAAAAAGTACCACCCAAATTGCCCTGTGCGTGAGTCGTCGCTCTATTTTGTGTGTGTGTGTGTGTGTGTCCGTTGTTGGTTTTCCCCCATGAATGCCTTGTTTTGGGCTTTTCTCTATACACAAGCATACAAATATATTTTGTCAAACATTTTCCGGTTTTTCCTTATTCGAAGCTGCAGCTAGGAACGCCGCGCCGTCCTTTCACACACACACCAAATACATATACAGAGAGCGGGCGCTCTCTCTCGTTCTCTCTCTCGCTCGCTCTCTCGTATATGTATATGTACTTGAACAGCCGCGGATGCCAAACAAAACGACGCTTGTTGCCGCGCCTTGCAAGAAATCGATTTTGCAGGCCAAAATGCATAAATTTTGAGGCAACTAGCATTTAATTAAGCGAAGGGGAAAATGGCTAAGTGGCTGCGGTAGAGGACGGGGCAGGGCGACACAGGAGCAATGCAATCCACACGCACACATTCACGCACGCACGCACACTAAGACAGGCTGCGGTTGGCGTTGCCATCGTTGGGCTAGCCTTAAGGGGGAGGAGCTCCTGCTGTACAATCCATTGAGTTGCATTGCGTATAAATTTTCGCACTTCCCAACACACGCACAAAACAGTCGTTTGCTTTGTTATAAGGCAATTATTTAAACAAAACATTCAACAATATACCCTGTTGTTGTTGTTGCTAACATATTTGTATACTCATTTCAACACTTCGTTTCGTTGTTGTTGTTCTTTTTTTTCAGTGCTGGATATAGTGTAACGGCACACACCTTTCACAACTTGAACTCATTTTTCCAACGCTTTATTACACTTGGCCGCTGTCGTCGCTGTCTCCTTTTGCTATTTCTGCAGCTGCTTTTCTTCTTCTTTTCTTAGCACATGCACCCGACTGACTCTCAGCGCACAAACACGTACAACAACTTAATATATTTTCACTACTACAACTACACTTTTATTTGATTTTTTCGAATTCGGGGGCTGGGGCAGCAACAGCGAAATGCAATTTTTCCTTTTCAATTGATTTTTCTTCCACTCGCACTCCTTTTTTCACTTTGCGTTTGCCGTAGACGCTTGGCGAACACTTTCACATTTATGATATAATTTATAGGCCATATTTTCGCTTTGCTCTTCGCTTGCACAAATGCATTTTCTTTTTTTTTTCAATTATTTATGTGACCGTGTTTATAATTAAAAATAATTCATCCGCCTTGCATTCACACGCCGCCGCCGCTGTTAACCAACTGTAAACGTCAGCTGTTTTCGATTAAGAGCACAATCGATAGAAATACAATATCGCTTTAAAATTGCTTACAGCCTCTGTTAAATGTTAACATACCTGTAATCACCAGCTGTTTTCGATTTTAATGGACAAGTAGTTGTCGATAACGTCTAAATAGCTCGGCCAAATTTTTTTGCTAAACTTAGAAAAGGTATTCTGAATTGAATTTAACATTTACATAATTTAAGCAACGCACGTATTCGCAATTGCCTAACCCTTTCTGAAAACATAATCGTCAGAAGCAGGGTGACCAATTTTGCAGAACTTATGGATTAGCGCTTATTACATCTGGCCACACTTTTTACAACTGACCATAAGTTCAACTTAATATAATTTTGAATGCAAATGAATTTGAAAATAAAGTACACATTAGTAAAATCAGGTAGATTTCATTTATTTTTTACGTTCATTGAATTTTATTGAAATTTTGCGAGTTAATACAAAAACAAAACTGAAATTATTGCAATTAACATTAAAAACGCCCGCTCACCATTACAATGCCATTGAAAAAGGTTTGTTTAATACTATGGTTAACTGATTTTTACAATTACTTTAAGAGTGTCTCGGTTCTTGTCTACAAAAATGTAAAATAATAGTCACATTTAAAATTGCATAATTCTAGACAATTCTAGACAAGTGATGTTAGATTATGACGTACATATTGTTTGGAGAAGATCTCATGCATAAAATGTTTTTATTAATTGATTTTTTTTTATTATTTTTTTTTTTTTTTTAAATCGGTTCTCGACGTAATAATTTCGAATAATTATGCTTTTATATGCTTGAATTTTTATTGCATTTTATGTAATTAAATATATATATAACGTACATCTACATCACGAATCACAGCAAAACTTTATATTATAATTTCTTTTTTATTTCTTTTTCATATAATTTACGAGAAGCTTTTGATTTTTTGTTGGTGTTTTGAAACTATAAAAACAATCAAGTTTAGAAAGTGCCGTTATTATTGTAGATTCCAGAGAAAGTTGGTAAAAAAAAGTTCTATGAAAGAGAAGGAGGAAATTATAAAATTTCAATAGGGAAATAAGCTTCCAAAAATGTTAATTTAAGCTATTTGCTTCTTAGTTCGGTTGATTGAGATTTTATTTATATACTCGTAGGTAAGTATGTCAGTGCACGTACAAAAGGTATTCAATTCATATCCATGTATATATGTATATATATATATTTGCTTTTATCTTTTTGTTTTCATTATAACGTTTGGTTTCTGTTTTAATTTATATTGTTTTATCATTGTGACAAAAAATAAACATTTTCTTCTACTAATAAAATTCTAGAAAAGCACAACACCTTTATAATGGTCTTTTGAAAATACCATTTACATTTATGTAGATTTAAAATAAATACACACACATTTTACAAACACATACATATGTATATATATATGTATGTATTAATATATACTATGTATCAAGAATTGTTTTTTTTTTTTTGGTTTCTTCACTTTTATGCATAGCATTTTATAAGGATTGAAAACATTATTGTTTTTCAAGGGGGACAGGGGGGAAAGAGGAGGAAAAGTGCTCATCGTTGTCGTTATTCTTCTTCTTCATGTTGTTGTCAATACTTGGCAAACGGATCCAATAGTAATGCGAAAAACTTTGATTTTCTGGGTGGGTACCGGAAATTGTGGAACCATATTTATAGCAGAATACAGCATAGAGATTTAGGAAAAAGAGCTTTCGCTATAAGCAAATCATCTTCTATTTGTTAGTTTAGTACTGTCGGAAAATGCTAATCTATTTTATATGTATATAGTTTTCCTTTTTTTATATATATATATATATGTATGTATGCTCTATATATATGCATTTGTTACAAAAAAATCAATGCCATACATGTGTTTTATATATAAAAAACGCTTTGAGTTAGTTTCAATGGTTTGATACGAATGGAGGGCAGGAATCATTTCAATTTACTTGGTAATTCTGTATTCTGTATTTTAAAGTGTATATAAACATATTACTTGTCATTGTTAATCATTGTTATTGTTATTATTATATATATATATGTATATTGTTAAAAACCGTAAGGATTTACAGGCTAGTCAAGTGCATGTAAATATCGTACACATTATGCATATACATATAATTAAGTTATACCATAATAATAGAAGAAAACTCTATATAGATAGATATATATATATATGTATATATATAACTACATATATGCATCTGATGCTCGGCCAGCGTGCTACTTTTAATAGACAAGTCACATTGATTCAAATTCAAGGAGGTTTTTGGTGTAGATTATGATGTATATATCATACATATAACATAGAGCCTGGTTAAACACGTTTTTTTTTTTGTCGAAAAAGGCAAAACTACTGTGGAACTGTGGAGCTGCCGGAGCTCTCTCTCTCTCTCTCTCTCTCAAAAGTGGCGTCTATATATGCGGGTGTACGTATGTATGTATGTATGTATATATTTAGCGAATTGCTCACGTCTACGACAATACAGTTAAATAAGCCCACCAATATATGTATGTATTTATATGCATGTATGTATTACGAGTCTAAATTCATATTATTATTATTATTGTTATTATAATTGTATGTCTGCTCTGTTATCGCTCAATTTGTATATATGCATATATAAATGTTTTGTTAAACGTTACGTTCATATTTTTAGTTTATATTTTAGTCGATTTCAAAGATTGCTTATATGTTTCAAAGTTAGTTGCTTTGTTTAAATAGTTATTTATACTAATAATATAACGAAAATTGTTAAACACTTGAAACGCAAAAATTGTAAGAGTTGAATAGTCATTTTTTAAAAAGTTGTTTTGTGGTTTTTTTTGTTTGTGTTTTTCTTTGCTTAGTGCAAAAAGAAGAAGAACTTCTTCAGTGGGTTCAGTTCGTACAATATACAGGACTTTCCAATAGGTACGTGTCGAATCTGACAGCCGAAGGCCCCCATGTTGTACTATCTCTATTGAAAACAACATGGCCGCCAAGCACTTTCAAAATCAACAAATACGAATTGGATATATTTATATATATTTTGTTGTAAGTATAAAATTAAAATGCAATGCAAGTATTATGTATGTATGTATGTATATAAGAAAACATAAAGCATAAACAAGTACAAATATAATTTTTTTTTTAATTTTCTTTTTTTTTTTGCAGATATAGTGTTAATTAATATAATATATATGTGTGTATGTATGTGGACAGCAACATTTTAAAATACACCATTTAGTATAGGTAATGTATGTTTTGTATATATAGTATGCACTCGTTTTGAATGGAGCTGTTGCAATGTAATGCATAAGGAAAATATAAGCACAGGCGGCAGCTGAGACCAAAATGTCACCCGAATTACATTATTGATTCCGTTTTTAAATTTGGTTTTCTTTTAACTTGCACTGTACTACATTAAAAAAAAACCGTAAATTTTGAATTGATTTTTTGTTTTACAGTTTTCTCATTTACAACACATTTAACAAAACTATCGATTATGTTTATCGATAATTGTGCATATTATGTTCTGCATTACTTATGTATGTATGAAATCTTGGTGGTATGCATATTTGATTATAATTACATTGTTGTTACAAATTATTGTAGTTTTTAAACCATTTACCGTTACTTACATACAACTACCGCCTAAGTAGAGTTCTACGACAAGCTATTGAAGTGTTCTGGTTTAACGGGAAGCGATTTGGCAGTTGGATTCGTTGCGCGTTGTATTAATTAATTAAATAGGCTATCTGTGAGTGTTTTGTTGTTGTTTATGTATGCGTGTGTGCTCCATTACTTGCTGCACCTGGACGACGTGGCGAAAGCGTTTGGTTATGGTTGTGTTGTCTTTGTTGCAAGCATTGCCCTAAGCGGCCTGACTCTGCTGCGAATTGGCGCCGGTTGCTGCAACGGTCACTGCCGGATTGCTGGTAACCGTGGCAGCGTTGCCAGCTATTGTGGTTGTGGCCGCAGTGGCAGCTGCTGCCTGCGCCTGCTGCTGCTGATGATCGGCACTGTCAAAATAATCGGAGGCATTGCCGCGGCAAATGGGGCACGTGCGATTCGACTGCAAAAGTAAAAAAAAAAATAAGTTAGTAGCTGCAACAGCTTAACAGTGTGGATCAATTTATGATGGACATTTCGGAATCGAATATTGTATACATTTTATAATGCGTTTCCATCTACATCTAAAATTGTATTATTTGTAAGTAGTATGTAAAAAATATTTCATTTTAAAATAATGGTGTGATAATAATGATAAACTATAAAATAATGATTAGCGCTGCCGATTTTTAAATTTTTGCCGCACTCCGTAGAGCTGGCAACACTGGCGGGCAGGCGGCCACATCGATAAATACAATTCGCCAACTGCCAAATGTACAGTGTTGCCAGCATGGAATGCACTGCCAGGTGGCAGCACTGCAGTTCGAACAAGAACATTTTAAAAATATTGAAAATTATTAATTGAACTTACGCGCAGCCATTTATCCACACACTTGGCATGGAACTCGTGGGAGCAGGGCAAAACGCGCAGTAGCTGCCGCAGCTCAAAGTCGCACATGCAGACCACGCAGGAGGATTGATCGCCTATTATGGATTCATAGGGCAAAAGAGGTTTATTAAAGAAGACATAAAAGAATTGATTAAGTCTTACCATTATGTGCTTCCGGATTGTACTTGTAGCTGGGCAATTGATCAACTTCGTTGCGTGTGAGTCCGCGCGGCTTGGCCTCGCCCAGACGCTCGGCCAGACTGAGCAGCGCCTCATAGTTCTCCGTCTCGTTGGTGTCCGCGGAGCTCAGGTCGTGCTGGTTATAGGGAGATAGCGGGAACATGGCACTGCAAACAGGCAAGATGATTAAAGATAAGAATAAAAATAGATTGATAATAAGGACATACAGGAAATTGAGCAAGAAGCCCGGATTGATAATGCCAGCGGTGGTTTGGATCTGCACGGGCGCCTGATGAGGTGCCAACGATTGCGGCGGCAGGACATGCCGATGAGGACCATGATTTGCCGGCCAGAAGCGCGGTAAACGCCTATGTGGCGGGAATGTGCGTCGCTCCGACGATATGATTATCTGCTGCGGTGCTGCCGCCGCCGACATCTGGCTAACATGGGCAGCTGCTGCCGCCGCCGCGGCATTGGAATGTAGATGCTGTGCGGCAGCCGCAGCAGCGGCGTTCATCGAGGCGATGTGGATGTGGCTTGCCGGCAACTGATGTGCATGTGGATGTGCATGCGGATGCGGATGTGGATGCGGCGCTTGGCCGCCCACTGGCACAGATGCAGCAGCTGCTGCGGCTGCAGCTGCCGCCGCTGCAGCGGCTGCCTGATGTCCGTCCAGATGATGTGCACTGGGCGGCTCAGCCAATGTTAAATTGGCCACCGCAATTGCGGTCACATCGCGTTGCTGCTGCTGTGCCGTAATCGTTGCCTGCTGTATCATGTGCTGTGCCGCTGCCGCAGCAGCCGCCACCTGTGTGGGCGACGGCACCTGGGCCACCTGTAGCGGGGCGGCGGCCAGGCCGGCGGGCGCCGCCGAGAAGGGCTGCGTATAGATGCCGTGCAGATGGCAGGGCGCCAGACGCGCCTGCGCTGGCAACGGATACGTGCAAAAGGAGGCCCAGATGGGCTCATGGCGCAGCGCCAAATTGAGGTCAACCATTACCGATGCGGGTGGCGGTGGTGGCGGCCCACCGTTCACTGCCTGCTGATGCGTGGGAGCCTGCGGCGGTGCCGGTACCTGTTGCAACATCGCGCCAACGCTGCTGTTCGCCGGAGGCCCGCCAACGACATTGCCGCCGGCATTTCCCACCGACGGCACATTGCCGCCCAAATCCCAGGGTGAGCGATGCGTGTGCGGGTGTGGATGCGGATGCGGATGTGGGGCCTGCTGCTGCTGCTGCTGCGGCGCATAGTGCGGCTGTGGCTGATGATGATGCATTGGATGGTAGTTGGGTGGCGCCTGCTGCTGCTGTTGTTGCTGCGAGTGGTGCATCTGTGGTGCGTATTGCTGCTGGTGCTGCTGCTGGTGCTGCTGCTGGGTGGAGGTGGCCACATCACGCAGGCGTGGCCGACGCAGCGGTGGACTGCCTTGTTGCATCTGTGAAGAAAGAAAAATACATTAGAGATCTGACCTGATATTGAGCCTCGGAGTATCACCATGACACGTTGTGAGCGTCGCGGTTCCCAAACGGCTGGCGGCGATTGACTTGGTCGTCCCGAAATGCGGCGACGCTTGCGCGATGGACTGTCCGAGTTCAGGCCGTTGGGACCAGGTCCCACCAGTCCATTGTTAAGCGACAGTGTTGAGCCAGACAAACCCGAGCCGGAGGGCGCATCGCCCATTAAACCAGGACCAGCGGCAGATGTGGAGGCACCATTGCTATTGCCATAGCCATTGCCCATGTGCTGATAGTGTGCACCATTCCGACCATAGCCGTTGCGCATAAAGCTATAGCCACCGTCGGATCTATGATCCAGACCCTGGTCCGAGCTGCCATTGCCAAAGTGCTGCAAGAAGTCGAAATATAATTGAATCTCTGAATGCAGCTAATGCGAAACTGGAGTAGTGTCGAGGAGAAAATACCCTGTAAATATAATTTCTGCTTCAACTAAATTGTATCGGAATAACATATATTGATTTTAATTTTCTTTTACTTTTAGATTTTTAATGCTATTCGTATGCCGAAACATTTTAAAATTTAAAAGAGAATTTCTCATAGTATGGCTTTAAGTTATGATAAAAATTTGCGAAAAGGTTTTATTAATAAATATATATTAATGAACTGACTTGCTAACTCACATTATTGTTTGGATTTCTATCGTAGTTTCCATTGTGACGACGATTGTTGTTGTTGTTGTGACCATTGCCCGTATTGTTGTTGTTGTTGTTGTGATGTTGCTGATAGTCGCGGGACAAAGCGGGGCAAGCTCGACGATAATTCATATAGTCCGGATTGTTGCCATTGTTGCTTAACCCGTTCCCATTGTTGTTGGTGTTGCTGTTGATGATAATGTTGTTGTTGTTGTTGTTGTTGCCGTTGCGATTGTTGTAGTTGCGCTGGCTATGATGCCCATGGCCCGTTGGTCCTGCCTGTGGGCCGGAAGGTCCTTGGCTATGGCTATTGATAGGTGCGTGGTTAATATGAGAATCAGTCAATTGGTTGAGGTTTATCATAAGAGGCGACGGCGACAGTTGTTGTTGTTGTTGTTGTTGGGTTTGAGATCGTCGTTGACGTTGTTGTCGTTGTGAACACATTTGTTGGGGTTGTCGTTGTGGTTGTTGTTGTTGTTGTGGCACAGACGACCCATGAGGAATTATATCGGTACAAGAATTGACATTCACAACATCAGTAGGGTTACTATTTGTTGTTGTATTGGTTGAATTGAAAGTTGTTGCGGTTGTTGAATTTGAATTCGTACGTGTTAGCGGGAGGGATTGGCGATTAGTCGGTTGTTGTTGTTCTTGTTGTTGGTGTTGGTGTGTTTGGTGATTGTTGTTATTGTTGTTGTTGTAGCTGTGATGGGTGCTGTGATATTGATGATTATGATTGAAATTATGGGAATGATTGTTATCGTGACTGGCTGGAAAGGATAGCAGAGCAAGGGGCGTGCTACGGCGCTGCTGATTTTGGTTTGGTATAGGCATGAGCATGGGCGTGGGCGTGGGTGTGGGCGGGGCGGCAACAGTTAAACATAAGCGTGCTGGATTCAGTCTAACAACGGACACGGACATTGAACCAAAAGCGGGCGGCGCACTCGGCGCACTGTTGCACATATCAATATAGCTGTGATAGCCGTGATTCACAATTGGGTTCTGATTGGGATTTGGGCACTGATTGGGATTGTGGTTTTCGTTGTGTGGTGTTCGTAAACTACTCAGATTATTGCTGCTAATGTTATCAGTGCAATTGTTGTTATTGTGTGCAGTGTTGGTAATTGAATGATGATAACTGTTATGATTAACGTTACTGTTACTGTTATTGTTACTGTTACTGTTACTGTTATACTGTGTGTGGTTATGTTGGGCTTGTGACTGATGACTGTTTTGTGGGGCATTGCGACTGTGATTGAGGTTAAGGCTGTTGTTGTGATGATGCGTTTTGCTATTGTTATAAATACAAGTACCGCTAGAATTACTTGTTTGTACATCGCTGGATTTTCGATTTAGGTTTGCAATTGCGTTTTTTTTTTTCAGATAATATGTAATACATATAATAAGATATACGTATATAATATATATATTCGGTTTTACGAGATACATTTGAAAATTGTTCAATCAAATCAATGCAGTAGCAGTGTGGTGGTAGTATTAAAACACAACCCATATATAGTTATTTTTGTATGCATATACATGTACAGGTAGTAGGTAGTAGTAGTAGTAGTGTATATATGCAGAGTGATAGCCACACATATACGTTATTTATATAGTTTTTTTATTTTTATTATTTTGCAGTTTTTTTTCGGTATTTTTTTTTTTATGAAGAAGAAAGAAAAACGAAAAAGATAAAAATAATATATATGTAAATGGCAAAATGCAATAATTAGATTATTAGTTTAATATAGATATATATATATATATTTATGTAATTATATAATATCAATATATACACACACATATAGTTTATAATAATATTATGGCAATGCGTGTATATGTAGCGAGAATTTGTTATTAATATTATTCAATAATTAACTACATATACACACATATACAATATGCATTTAGTAGAAACAAATACGTACTAATTTTGCACAATATGTTCTTTTTTATTTTACTTTTTTTTTTTTTGTCTTATTGTTTTTGTTGTACTTATGCATTTTAAATAGAAATTGTTAGTTTGCTATTTTATTTATTTATTTGTTTGGCTTTCGCTTTAATGCACACTACGCTTACGAAAAGAAATGAATAATAAATTTAAAAGAAGGAATTAAACAACAAATGCGAGTATCACAGTTTTTAGGACACTTTTCAACGCAACACTTTCACTAGCTAAACATGAGAGATAGAGAGAGAGAGAGTTATATGTACTTATAAGAGAGAGAGAGAGTGCTTTACATGCTCAAAACTATACAAAAGAGAACGCAAAAAACGTAAACCGTTAATCCAAGTACGAGTACTTTCTTTTAAAAAAAGCTTGGGGAGCATGTGGGTGTGGCGCGCTCTGAAGAATCAGCTTTGGGCACGCAACGTACGACGTAATCGTTAACGTAATGTAAACGTGAGCACAACAGCATGCGTATGCAAAGCTTAAGACAATATCATAGGGTGACACAGGTCGAGTGATCGAGCTGGGGTATACAAGATAGTACGATAGTATACACATATATATATTCACATACCTACACACACACACACACACACACAAACACTCAGACAGACACACATACAGACAGCAGCAGTTGGGTGGGCGTGGGCCAAAAAGCGCCAAAAATTATACGTTAACGTTTAACACTTACGCACTAATTGCAAAAGCTGCGACTGCAACTCATTCGCTTATGTGTCCAAAAAAACGTAAGAGAAGAAATCATATATATAGTTAACTATTTTAAACAGACAGTGTGAGAAAAGTTCAAAAGTTATAGACTATAGTTGTGGTTCTGATTTTGATGTAGCGCTCACACACACAATCAAATATTGAATATATTGATATAAAGAAAGATACGAAAGAAATTATAGTAACGCATTTACTATATATTTTGAGAGTTGTTTAGTAGCTTTGGTTTTGTTTTTGGAATTTCTAGTTAGGTACATTAAAACTGTTTATTAAACATTCTAAGCCGCAGTGTGCATAATGCAAATAAATAAGTAAAACATTAAGCTGAGTTTCTTGATCATTAAATATGATTTTTATTCCAACTTTGTCAAAACAAATTTGTAATTTTTTACCAGCACCAAAAATGCATCATTAAGCGTTTATACAAAATACACCAATCTATTAAATTCTATCAATAACAATCAATAAACTCAACTAAAATGCATCATCATTCATAAAATGTTGAATTGAAAAAATATTACAACTAAGTATTTACTGTACGGTTTGGATAAAGAGGAAATTTTGTAACTAAATTTTTATATATATGTATATTTGGCTTGCACTTTGACGGTTGCATTTATAATAATCACAAGGATCTCAAACATCACAATATTTGTTCTCAAAATTATTTAAGTTTGGTATTTTTTTTTTTTTTTTTTTGTAAACTTCATTTAGCATAAACGTGAAGCAAAACTAAGCGCAGAAAATCAAAAAATATAATTAAACAAAATATGTTTAAGAAAAATAAAAAAGGAAAGCAAATAGCAGCCCAAATGAGCTATACTATTGTTAAGTAGTACAGTTGTGCTTTTGTTCAGCTGATTTAGCTCCAGTTGGAACTAGTTCGCATTGCGACTGGAACGAACACAATTCGACTAAATGTGGTGTACTTATTGTTGTTTTTAATTTCTTGACTGATTATGCATGAAAAACACTTGCAGGTAAAACGTTGTCTCTGCTTTCTCCTTTTTATAATTCTACTCGTTTTCCCTGAGTCGCACTGTGTCCAATTCATGTACTACTTGCACTATCTAACCTCACTTTAAGATTCGTTTTTTTTTATATTACAGCTATAAACACGCTATGAATAGGTAAAGAGATTAATGTGTATGTATATTTTGATACTAGCGGTAAAACTCGATGGAAAGAAAATTATTTGTAATTTTTGAAAATTATAATTTAAACCCTTTTTTTTACAGACAATTGCCAGGAGTTCTGCAGGAGCACTTTAAAGATATATAAAAAGCTGCTTTGTTTTCTTAATATCCATACCAAAAATCGTTAAAAATATACATTAAAAATGACATACACACGTAGCATTAAACTAGTTTTTAAATAAAAGCAAACAAGTTATATGCAAATTGCAATAGTAAATTATTTACCAACTACGAGTACGAATTTACACAGATCTTAGGTTTATATTTTGGCTCTCGGCCAAGAAAATTGTTTCGGCCCAAACTTGTAAAGTAAATGTTGTTGTTTTTTTTCATTTTTGATGATGGCATGCTTGGTAATAACCGTTAAGCGCGCTTTTCATATGTACGAGAGTATTTAAAAGTATTTGATAAGTACGATAAATTAAGAAGCTTTTTGTTTTTTGGACAAAGAAACAACTACTTAAAAACTTAGGACATTTGCTACGTATAAAGTTTTGTTCGCCATTTTCAAGTGCTCTTCATGCATTTTTCATAGGGTTTTTTGAGTTTTTTTTTTAACGGTTGAAAATTAAAAATTTTCTGTTAGATGTAAATATATATGTATCTACTGTGGAATTTCGCCTGGTATGTATACATATACATACATATTTGTAATTGAAGCGGTTAGAAAATGTACATACGATACAATTAGGAATGTATTGTTTTATTTTTAATATTTTTTTTTGGAGCAAAACGAAAGTTGTGTATTGTTTTTTAATTGAATGTAAATGCAGAGATAATAGATACAACGATAATTAGTAGTTAGAAGTAATACATATGTGCCAATTGACAAGAACAAAACATAAATAAAATGTACAGTACGAAAGAGAACAAAAATTACAAATGAACACGAATTTATAAACGTTGAGAAAACAACAAAACAGCTGCAGCTGCAAACCATTGTGCAACACGTGCAGTACTGCACAGCTGCCAAAGAGAGAGAGAGAGAGACAGACCAAAAGAGAGCGTGTCTGTGTTGTAAAAGCTTGCACTCTCTTGAAGTGCTGAGACTGCAGCTGTCTTGTTGTTAATGCAAGTTTGTTGAGTGCTTCGAAAATTCAACGGTAAAAGGAGGCCAACGAAATGTTTTGGCTTTGCATGATAAATTTTGTTCTTTACTTTTTACTCGATTGGACAACACGCAATTAATTACAAAATTCTCCCTTTAACCTAAAAGCGATTTTTATATCTGAGGTGTAGTTACGTAGAAGTAGTTAGATATATATATATATATATAGAGATAGATATAGATTGAAGAGTAGAGAAAACTGTTCTATAGTTGTCGTGGGGAGCGTGGGGAACGAGTAACAAGGATGTTGTTGTTGTTGTTATTATTATTTTTATGGCATAGTACGGTGTGGGATAGCGGCGGGATAAAGGGCACTTGGATAGGGTACTTCAAATTCGCTTTTATGTCACTTAAAGCTAACGTAATTTGCAATATTTTTTTAATTCTTTTTTTTTTTTTATATATATTCATATACCATAAGCTGCGTAGCTCTTACCAATTTGAGTTTCTGCCATCGATTGCGTCTTTGTTATTGTTGGCATTGTTGTTGTTGTTGCTGTTGTCATTATTGTGGCGATTCAGATTGACATTGCACCAGGGACTATGACCCGGCACAAGGCCATTGTTGTTGTTGTTGTTATTGTTATTCCGCTGCTGCTGCTGTTGTTGTTGCTGTCCGTGTGGATGCGGCGAGTAGACCATGCGGCCGCGCTGGGAACGCGCCGATGAGGAATTACGCGAAAATGGCCGCCGGTTGTTGCCCGAATGATTCGCATTGGAGTTCAGCATGTTGCGGCTGCTGTTCCTGCTGCTGCTTGAGACTTAGTTGTTGTTGTTTCTAGTAATTTGTTTATTCAAACTTTGTTTTGTTCATTTATAGCTGCAAGTTGTACAAGAGGAAAAACGGAAAACGTTTGCGTTTTGAAAAACTTGAACTGAGTTAAGTTTAATGCCGCGCCCGCGCTCCAGTACACAAAGCAATAACAACCAACAAAGCCAACATGCTCAAATATTATAGATAATTAAATAAAAAACAAAACCCAAACGATACGAAAAAACAAAACATTTATGGATAGCTCTAAACACTAGTACTTACTGAGAAAATAGCATAAAAATGTATGTGTGTGTGTGTGTGTGTAGTGTGGTAAATATGTAAAGAAGATAGAGTATATATACTTTCTTGATCATAAATAAAACAGCAACAATTTGATTTTGGTTTTAAAACGTGTAGCTTTAATAGTTTGTCAATAATTGAAGAAAAAATAATAAAATGTAATTTCATGATTGGGTAACGTGCGTGATTAGTTTTCTGGATACTACAAATATATATAGAGTATACAATATGCCTGATATATGCGTTTTATTATATGGGAAAACAAATTCTTGTCATACAGAGCTAAGAGTTATATATTTTAAATGCATGAGTGTGTGTGAGAGAGCGTGAATGTATGCATGTATGAGATAATACAATAATAAACAAAACACAATTTTAGTAAATGTTCTCTTCTTTTTTTTCCTAGAAGTTGGGTGGGTTTATTACAAAATTACTTATCAGTTGTTTGGGAGTAGTTAGTACTATTGAGAGCTTTAGAGTTGAGAGAATCTAACACTTATCTTACGTGTATGTATGTTTTGTATTTATATATATAGATTTATATATATATGTAGGTACATGTTTTTAGGCGACAGTACAACTTTGATAACATATCTATGTATACTTAGAAATTTATTTAAATGGCTTTACAGCTACCACAGCGTACAATTATCACGAAACTCTTTCGGATTAGTTCAAAATTCATATTACAATGCTTTTGATAAACAGTCTTTTTTTTGAGAAATAATATTTGATATAAAAATACTTTAATCAACTTAATTTTAATTCTATTTTAACTGCTCTGACCCATATATGTATATTGGTTTCACTGATTTTTAAATTTCTAGTTTCCAATCCATACTATTATTGCTTTGCCCCTATTAACTGCTCCTCAAAACTATTTTAAATATTTTCTTGAAAACCAGACAATTCCAGGAAACAAAAATAGAAAAATTGTTAAATAGATTTTCTCATGAAAATGTATTTAATTGTATTAATGGAAAGCTTAAACAATTACAATCACATTAAGCAATTGAAGAAAAGATCGTACAAATTAGTACAACTAATAATATAAGGTCTCCTGGAAATGCCCATATCTTCTTCAATTAGAATTTGTATATAGTAAATTCATTTGGCAATCTATCAAAGTTGTACTGTAAGATGTATATACATATATATGTGTGTGTGCAAAAACAAATATGTGTGTGTGTAGTTGTAGTTGTTGTTGTTGTTGTTGAATGGTATAAATGGGGTTAGAGCAGTATTGGAACCAAAGAACGTAGGACAAATACAACAAATTACATGTGAGCTCTAAGCCATGCGAAATAAAAGATAAACAATTATTTGTATTAATTTGTAACGTTTAGAGAGTTTGTGTGTTTGTCTTTCGTTTCGCATGACTTATTTTGAATAGTACATATTAAAGATAGTATAAATGTTTATCAAATTTACAAAAACAAGCTTACAATCTAAAGCCGAGTCTTTTGCCAAGTTGCAGTAGAATGTTGTTGTTGGTTGTTGATGGTGGTGGTGGTGGTTGTTGTTGTTGTTGTAGTTGTTGGTAGTAGTAATTGGTAGGCGGTACGAGGAATAATACAATATATATAGATATAGATATATAAGTTGGCATTTATGGAGGCGAGCGAGCGATAGATGGCGCTCTATTTGTTTGTTTGTTCTTTTTTTTTTCTTTTTGTTTATAATTTGAACATGAGCTTGATGCTGAGGTTGAGGTGTGTGCAGTTTGCGCTTGCAGTTACAGTTGCAGTTGCGGTAGTTGGTCAGTGAGATACAGATACAGATACAGATTCAGATACAGATACACGCGCGGCGGCAAAATGGCAGTCTTATGTGCTATATCGTACTTAGCATACATTTCGGTTTAGTTTCAATATTTATTTTTACATGTGAGGATAGTCAATAGATAAAAAACACTTGATGAGCAGTTTTCATTGTTGTTGTTTTTTTTTTGTTTTTTTTTTTTGTGTGTGTTAAAAAGCTGGCACGTCTGGCCACGGCCATTAACAAATGTAAATTTACCACCAAAACCAGCAATAAAATATTGTATGTATGCTAAAAACAAAGAAAAAATAAAAGTAAAAGAAACATTTGCAATTACATTCATAGTTTTCGAGACTAATTTACTTTTAAAAAGGTTTCCTTATACATATACCCTTGCAGTAGGAATGATAATCATATGTTATTAATCAATTACAACAGCCGGGACGATATGTTTGCGAGAAATCATGACCAAATTGGACAATAACTAACTCTACTACCGGCTTCTGGTATATGAGCAAAGTGTCATCGGTATCGGACCACTATAATATACAGTTCGTATAGGAGCAATCGGTCAAAAATTGAAGTTTATTGTGAACCTTACTCAACAACCGAACATTCGACTGGAGTGTAGGTTATATGAATTAAATTATCGCCAATCTTCTGTTTATCTGCAAGGGTATTCAATTTTCGACATTCCGAAAATAACTAAATGATTTTTTTTTAGTAAGGTTAGTAATAAATACATAGTATACATGTGTAATATGTGTTTTTGGACGTAGGAATGAATGTATATATATATATTTATATAAAAAGCGTGGTTTTAATTGCCAAATAGTAAAATGCACAATGTTATATAAATTTAAATACTATGTAAGTTAAGCAGGCAGTTAAAATATATATATATATATATATATATATATACATATATATATATATGTGGGTATGTATGTTTGTATGAAACAAATGCACACACTGGTCACATAAGCAATTGCAGAATCCTAAGCCCTGGTAACAAAAACAAAATACGTTTATTTGTGTTTACATATAAATGTACATACATACAGCTGTATGAAAGCATTAATGTAAAACACCTCACTTTGCATTAATGTATGTATGTATGTGTGTGTGTGTTACTGAGGGCCAGGGCTCCACACAAAAAAGTTGAACACACTTTGCCACCCTCTCACAATTAAAACAATAAATTATCAAAACGAAAATATGTACGTCTATAAAATTGTACATATGTATGTATGTACATCACTCGTCTTTTATTCTCCACACAGCTCAAAGCCAAATTGTGAGAGAATGAGAGATAAGCAAAAGCAAACCAAACAGACGGACATACACACACATACATAAAGCTGAATGAGAGTGCGACGGCAATGAGCAGAAGAGAAAAGCAAAAACCCACCTAACCAAGTCTCGCTGTCTCTTGTTGTTGCTATTGCGTAGTCATGGTAGTCGAACTTCAACGACGATTGCTCTTTTTTGAGACACACACACATACGCATACGCACATCGATTATATGAATAAATGTATACCATAAAAATGTTTGCCTGCCTTTTGTTAACTATGCACATACAGATAATTACGTTCCATATTATTGCATATACGTTAACAACATTCACAATAACGCGCACACCACATACACACAGGCACAAACGATTGCAAAATCAACGGAGGAAAAATAAATAATTTTACACATCAACGCGAGCGAGTAAAATACCAGCACGAGAGCTCGCTTGAACAGACAAAGAGGTAGTGTGGTAAAATGCTCAGACAGACCATTTATTTGCTCCCCCGTTTTACTTGAACTCTCACCATTCGTCTGCCTCTCTCTCGCTCTTTGTGTGGGGAGCCAAAGCGTATCAATTGTAAATGCGTTGTGGGTATACATAGATATGAGTAAAAAAAATCGAAACTTTATGCCCCACAGTGGCTTCGAACCGCTCCCCTTTGACCATAGCTCACTTAAATCAACACAAGTTCACATATTTATAGGTGTATGTGTGTGTGTACACATGCATTCAAACACACATACATACGCACATATGTATATGAATTCACAATGACAACCACTTCGTCACCATCCACAGAAAAACTGGCATTAAACAATTGCGTTTTATATAATTTCACTACGTATATGCGTTAACGTTGAAAAGCACTATTTGCATTAGAGAAAAGCTCAAGAAAAATAGTCCTTTTAAAAACAAATTACACTTGGTATAAAATGTATCCAAATTTTTATGGGAGTTTACCTCTGCACGATTCTCGACCTGACAAAGCGTTGTATATGTATGGACATATGTATTTCTTACTTCAACAAAACGGTCACACTGTCTATGCTGTGAAATTTATTTATCAGGGCTGCATTGCGCGTATATCGAATGTGTATGGGGTACTTATGCACATTAAGGCAATCAATGCAGTCCTGCATAGTTTGTTGAACTGACATCGATATGTTATCGGGAAATAAAAAATATACATCGATGCCAGAACGCCATTGAATATTTAACTTGGTATTTTCGTGTTTTAAAAAGTTTTGTTTTTGCAACAAATTTGTTAACAATTTGACAACTTATCACTGGATAACTAATTAAGTTAAAGCTCAAGTGCAAAATGTAAGTAAAAGTGGCATTTTCGTAGCGGTATTTGATGACCGACATTTTTTTCCCATTAGGGCGCGTGCCCGGTCTCCCACCGCCGAGGGCGAAAAGGAAAATAAAGAGAAAGATATTAAAGAGAAGGACGCAAAGGCCGCTACATCCAATTCGTCGCGCCGAGAGCGAGAACGCAAGCGTCGAGGCTCCGCCTCCTCAAGCAGCGACTCCAGCAGAAGGTGCACATTTATTTCACACATTTTTGCCGGTCTAACACAAACGTTTACTCCATTTTGTACAGTTCATCGGGCAGCTCATCATCGCGCAGCAGCTCCGGCTCCAATTCACGCTCCAGTTCGAGCAGCTCAAGTGATTCGTCCAGCTCCTCGTCCTCATCGTCTAGCGATACCGATCGCAGCGAGAAAAATCGACGTCGTGGTGCCGGCGGCAGCGCAGCAGCCGGCAAGGATACCTCTCGTTCTCCACGCAGAGCCTCCAAATCGCCACGCCCCAATAGCAAGGTTCGCAAGGAATCAGAACGTGAACGCACGGAACGCGATCGGGATCGTGTGCAACGCAGTCGTAGCCGTTCCAGAGATCGAGCACGTCGCAGCTCCAACGATCGTGGTGCTGCAGGCGGCGGGGTAGCTGGTGGCGAGGTAAATAACGTGAAACGCGAACGTTCCCGCTCGATCAGCCGCTCGCGTTCGCCACGGCGCCGTGGTGGTCGAGGCACCGTCGATCGCACTCCGCCGCCCAAGCGCCGCGAGCGCTCACGTAGTCGCAGTCGCACCCGTTCACGCTCACCCACACCAAAGCCGGTGCGCATTCATGTCGGCCGATTGACACGCAACGTGACTAAGGATCATGTGCTGGAGATCTTTAGCAGCTTTGGCACTGTAAAGAATGTGGAATTCCCGACGGATCGTTATCATCCAAATTTTGGACGTGGCATGGCCTATGTGGAGTATGCCACGGCCGAGGACTGCGAGTCGGCCATGAAGCACATGGATGGCGGCCAGATCGATGGCCAGGAAATAACAGTATCGCCAGTTATTGTGCCAAAGCAGCGACCGCCAATGCGACGACCATCACCACAGATGCGCCGTCCTCAGGGCGGTCGCTGGCGTTCCCCGCCGCAGTTCAATCGCTTCAATAATCGTGGCGGCGGCGGCGGAGGTGGCGGACGTCGTAATTCACCACCGCGCGGCCGTCGCTCGCCGCGGCGTCGTTCACGCTCACCCATACGCCGCCGGCGTCGCAGCAACAGTTCGGACAGCTCCCGTTGAAAAGAATTTAGTAACAATATTTCATTTCAATTGGTAAACATCAAAAAACAATAACAGAAAACCAACAGCAATAACAAAAATGCACTGGAATTAAAATTTATATCCCAAACAATTATTTAAATGTAGAAACGAAATATATTAAATTACAAAACTAAACCCTTAAAAGATTTTAAGTTATAAAAGCTGGGATAGATGTTATATATAATTAACTTTGCGACTCCGAAAATCGAATACCCCAACTGGACAAGACAAGATATAATAATATTGCTATGGCAACGGGACGTCGTTCTTATGTTAATCTTCAATTCACTTGGGTGATCCTATAGTATAATTGTATTCTTTTCGACAACTCTATTTAATTGGAATACAGCAAGCATTAGAACTCCAAATATAATACATAGATTACAAGTATTTTCGCGGATTTTTATCTAAAAACAACTCAACATTTTCACAGCTTTTGCAAATAAATATCACCAACTAAAGCATCCACTGTATTAATAAATTGTTTGAAAATAAATATGATTTTTTAAATTTGATTTTAATGACGAAGATTTACAATTAATGTATAAAGGAGCAGTCGCTACCTTTTAACGGACAGCCCTGAGGATGGTGTAGCTTAAAGAAACAGGGTCGTTTCTTAGTCGTTACCTGTTTTGCGGTGCTTTCAGTCGCCGCCGCATTAGCTTTGGGCTTACGTATGCCAATACGATCTTCGCCGCAAAACTCAAAGACTTCGTGCTTATTTCGCAGCAGTGTTTTAATACCGCCGCACTCGGACTTGATGCCGCTAAGCTCTGCTTTGGTGAGGCCCTGAGCTATGTCACGCATTGTCAACTGTTGTCCTGGCAGCCAATCGTTATTCATATATGTATTTGTATTGGGCAACAACATGCAAAAGATTTTCAAAACTAACGCGTCAATTATGCTCTTTTCCACTTGCGTGCAATTTCTCACGCTCTCTGCTTTCTCGCGCAGCTTTACTGAATTCGCCGCGCTTTCCACGCTCGCTTTATGCTTTTGCAGCTCTTGCTGCACAAAATGTTCCAGGCACTGGGTCACTTTTACTGTGTGCCTTAAGCCAATTAAAGCTAAGCGTTTGGTGCTTGGTATCTTCAGCCGATCCTGCAGCGTTTCAAAGCCACACTTATCCGAAATTTGTCGTGCATATATCAGAAAATCCTGATAAGCGCTGATGCTAGTGTTGCGCCGCTGAAACTTGGCGCCGGACAGCTCAAACGGACAGCACGGCAGCAAAAAATAACTGGTTTTCAGGCGCGCTGCCAACACTGGCAACCAGGGTGACAGCTCATCGGAATGATTGCCTATTAGCCAGTCAATGTCCGGATAATCCAAAGAAAAGCTATTTGGTTCCACAGTTTGCTCAATGAGACTCGCATTCGTTTGCGCCGGATAAAGTGACCACAGTTTACGCCTGCGCACATCGTAGCCGTATCCCTTGTACCCCTCCGCATTGAGCACATGGACGAGCAGCCCATTGCCACAGCCCAAGTCAGCAAATGCTGTAGGCTGCGACTGTGTGCAGTTCCACAGAGTGATTAGGTATGCGGCAATGGCTAAATCCTCGTATATAAACTTTAACGGATCTGTCGATTCGTTTGCCGTTTGCCAGCACTGCAGCAGACGCTGCGCGTGCTTTTGCTTGAGTTTTTTGTACAGTTCGCTGTACATTTCCACATCCAATAAACGCAACGATTTCTGTGCGCTTTCGTCCCGCTTGCTCTGCGACCAGTTGTATAGCTTAGGCTTTAGCACAAACTGCACCCAGCGAGAGCTTTGCTCGCCGATCTCCAATTCCAGTCGATGCGGCAGCGTAACCGCTTCCAGCTGGTCACCAATTAAATTGACGGAGAAATCATCAAAACCGGCATCCCCCAGGAAATGGCATTCATAGCTTTGCTTGCCAAAATCTGTCAATTCATTTATATTTTCTAATTATATCATTCAAAATTAATTAAGATTAAACTCACCCACTGTTCCATTGGCCAAAATATTTGTGGCCAACTTTTTGGTCAGCATCTTGTAGCCAATCCTAAAACCCTCACATGTTCTTTCATTAGCATTAGTTTGCAGCTGCTGCTCCAGCTCAGCCTCCGTAGATTCATATAGTTTACCCTGCTGCAGCTTTTGCACCTGTGTTATAAGCACATCGAATATTTTTTTATTCAACGCATGATAGTTTTTTATTAATATTTCTATGGACTGCCAGAATTGCGCCTCGTCGAGCTTCACAGCTGCCATTTCTTGCAATGTTTACCAACACTTGCGGACTAGTATGCTAATCAAGTATAGCAAAAGCAGAGCAAAATGTGCCATAATATATATATAAATATTTTGCAAGGGAAAGAGTCTTGTGCATAAGGTGATTAAATGTAATTTACAAAGACTTGTTGAATATTGTCTGCTACAAAATGACGTGTATATTAATTTCTAAGAATTCTGTTCATGCAAATTAAGCGAGCAAAGGTTATTTGCTGCATACTAAGCCTAAGAGCATACCTGTTGCGTAACGCAGCTGATTTGTAGCACAAGGCAGCGGCAGAACACGACGCAGCAAATAAAAAACTACAATATTTTCCTTGCATTTTGTCCTGTTGCAGTTTCCGTTTTCCCTTTTCATTCGTAAACATGTCATTCCTGCGCAAATCCGTTCAACTGTTAAATGCTGCCAGACAAAATGTCAAAACGGTGCGTATTCCAATTGGACTTTATAATAACATGTAGTTAGTTGTTTTGGTTATTGACTCTTTTTACGTTTTGTGCTCAGCTTGGGGCAGCGAGTGCTCAGCGAGGCTACAGTTCCAGTGGAAAGCCAGCGGACGATCGTTACGCATTTCCAGGCGCTCGTGATGCGCCATTTATAAACAATCTAAAGTTGACAATGCCCGAGGACTATTCGCCCATACCCATCTACCGGGTATTGGATCGCGATGGCTACATACTCAATGAACAAGAGGATCCACATCTTAGTCAGGAGATCGTTGAGAAAATGTTCCGCGACATGCTCCTGCTGTCTACAATGGATAAAATACTGTACGAATCGCAGCGACAGGGACGCATCTCCTTCTACATGACCAACTTTGGTGAGGAGGCATCCCATATTGGCAGCGCCGCTGCCTTGGAGATGCGCGACATCATCTACGGCCAGTATCGGGAGGCGGGTGTCCTGGTCTGGCGCGGTTTTCGCATTGATCAATTTATTGATCAATGCTATGGCAACGATGATGATCTTGGACGCGGCAAGCAAATGCCCGTGCATTATGGCTCCAAGGAGCTGAACTTTGTGACTATCTCCAGTCCGTTGTGTAAGCCGCAGTTATTTTTCTATTTATCCTCAAAAACAATGCTAATCTTTGATCATGCACTTGCACTATTTAGCCACCCAAATACCACAGGCTGTGGGTGCCGCCTACGCGTTGAAGCGTCAGCCCAACAACGATTCCTGCGTTGTTTGTTACTTTGGTGAGGGCGCTGCTTCCGAGGGTGATGCACATGCTGCATTCAATTTTGCCGCCACGCTCGAATGTCCAGTCATACTGTTCTGGTGGGTATTACAGTAGAATCTCAGTTAATATCCAAATGTAATCTCACAATCCGTATGATTGCAGCCGCAACAATGGATTTGCCATATCCACGCCGTCGAACGAACAATACCGGGGCGATGGCATTGCCGGACGTGGTCCCATGGGCTATGGCATTGCTACCATAAGAGTGGATGGCACCGATGTCTTTGCCGTTTATAATGCAATGAAGCGGGCCCGCGAGTATGTGCTGCGAGAGAACAAGCCGATTGTGTTCGAGGCGCTGGCCTATCGTGTGGGTCATCATTCCACTTCGGATGACAGTACAGCTTATCGTTCGGCGGAGGAAATCGAAGTGTGGAACACACTGGAGCATCCCATCTCGAAGCTGAAGAGCTACATGGTGCACAAGGGCTGGTTCAATGAGCAGCAGGAAACGGAATTTGTAAGCGGTGTGCGCAAGCAGGTGCTCAAGCAAATTGCCATCTCCGAGAAGAAATTGAAGCCCAATTGGCGTGAGATGTTCGAGGGTGTGTACGATGTGATGCCCGAGCATCTGAAGCAGCAGCAGCGCGAGCTGGAGCAGCACATCGAGGCGCACAAGCAACACTATCCGCTGAAGAGCTTCAAGCAGTAAAAGTGTGGACCAAAAAAAAACCCAACACTTGAATATCCTACAAAACTTAACCGGAGAGACTCATTAAAATGTGCATTTATTAAGCTTAAGCAATCTTTTGTTCTGTTTTAAGGGTTCCAAACCACTTGCGATTTGTTGTTAAATATGTAAACAAAACTGAAAACTTCTTTTTTATTTAGAGGCATGCCATGCAAAACCATTATAATATACATTTTTTGGGCAATCCAGAAATACCACATATTTACTCGAGCTTAGCCTTAATTACATTTGAAAAATGTGTTAAAAATTTATTAGTTTGATTTACATATAAAATACAAATACAATACGCAAAAATAAAACAATACAATATATAATAATAATTAAGGGTATTCCGGCAAACGCCTAAGCTGAAGTGTATAGAATAATGTTGTGCAGAAATGAACTTAGATCGTTTCGTTAAGTTTTTTTTCCGATATGCAACACTTTGGAGTAGCAAATACTACAATTTATCTACAGTGGGCTGTCGAAAATTGTTGTAGTCCAATATTAAAAAAAATTTAATATTTTATATTTTAACTGGAAAGATTTTTAAAGTCAAATTTCAAAGGGGGTTTCATAAATTCTATATTGAAGTGTTGAAAAAACGGTGAAAGTTGTAGAAAATATGTCTCAAAAAAAAGATTTCTAAATAATTTATATATAATCAATGTCAGTTTTCAAAAGTGTGTACGAATGTTTCTGAGAGCTTATATTTTCGAGCCGTTTTGAATTTCTAAAACCTTCTAATCAGCTATATTAAATTGTTGCATAGTTATTCACAAGTTAAAATTCAAAATATGGCTAATTGGTTGACATTTTTGTAAGTACAGCCTAGGCCGGCTAGCATTTGACCCAATTAAAAGCTTAACAAAATGTTTAATAAAGTTGATATCAAAGGCTGAAAAATCTATTATTACTAATCAGCTGGAAAAGCTGTGCGTTTGCGGGAACGCCCTTTTCAAAATGCTTTCGACTTAACGCACAGTGTGAAGGTGAGGCAGCTAACTAACATAATCCTAACTCAAATTGGACACAACAAGGTTTTTCGCTTAAGCTTGCCTGGAATGCGCGCGTTTGTGTTTGTGTGTGTGTGTTTGTGTGTGTGTGTGCGTGTGTGTGTGTGTGTGTGGGCACGGATTAGTTGGTACGCAGCTGATAATCGCCGTTCTGAGTGATATAACGCACCCAGGGCAATGCCTGGTAGCCGCTCTTCTCAATGATCTTCAGATAGCGCACCTGTATGCCCGACGTTGTGAAATAGGGTATCTCGAAGCGCACCTGTATCGGTGGCTTGCCTTCGGTATTATCCTCGCTCTCCACGCTGGGCAGGCCAAAGTGTGCACGCATTAAATACTCCTTGCCGCCTGGAAACGATTTGACTGTCCATATAATGGCATTCTGCTCTGGAGCATATTTGCAGCTGCCAATGGTTGTTTTGAATTTGGGTGAATCCGCATCTGCGGGCACGGGTATAACAATTTCCACATTATTGGCCGTTGATCTGCGCTTAAATTGAGATTTTGCCTTAATCATGTACTCGACGCGCGAGTGTGCATGCCGCTCAATGACCGATTCAATCCAGATCAGTGGCTTGACCTGTCGTGAAGGAGAGGAGATGGGGGACAGCTTTATTAAATGGATTCTTTTCGATTATTATATATACTCACATGCGTGTTGAGGCGATAGGACATCAGCTCGAATTCGCCATCCGGTGGTATAAACGAGATTGTGCGATCATTTTCGAATCGCGACAGTCGCACGCACTGATGAAATTTGACATCCTCCAGCTCCACGGACTTGGATTTGCCACGCCCAGTGCTCTCGAAGAGCACCTTATCGTTGAGGCCCAAACGCAGCTCTGGCATGCCAGACAAATAGACGCGCATTTTAATGGCGCCAACGATTTCGCTGCGCAGCACATTGCCATTTGCATTGGCAAGCAGATTGACCGACTCGATGACATCAAGGAAAACCTCATTTTTGCGATACTTGATGCCCTCCGAGCGCCAGGAGACGGCATTTGTTACAGCTACGGGTATGCGCGGCTGCAGCTCTAATTTGTGACCCTCTTGCGTTATATACTCCTGCAGTATTTTGGAGTCCGTCGTTTGTGGATAGCCAAAGTCAATGAGTTCGTCGAGCAACTCGTATATGATAACAAAATTATCTCGGATGGATTCCTCCTCCAGCTCCTTGAAATACTCCACAAACACCTGTGCGATTTTGTGCAGAAATACAAAGACAAGGGCAATATTCACATTCTTATTACGTGGCGTCGTAGACACAATATACAAATTATTTGTCTTTATATAGGCAAAGGTGGTCTCTGAAGTCTGCAGAATGGGCGTGACGAGACCTTCCTCTTCGCGTTCCATGAGCAGTGGCATGAATTTATCGATTACAGCCATGTCAATGTTGTCGCCGCGATAATTACGGGATATCAACACCTTGCCCTTCACGTCCAGCACAAATATGGCTGATGAAGACATTTTTCCTCTTTTTTCTTTCAGTTGCTTTATTTTTTTTGTCTAAAAGCTTCCAGCTGCCACTTGTTCTTGTTGCCCCAAAACGATGACTGTCAAACTCTTGTGTTTACGAGCCTGTAAAGTTGATGATAACGTGTTGAGATGGCTTGGTCAAACCTTGGGCACTTATATATTACATTATGTTTATTATAACTGGGAATTTTGTCGATTAACCGCACAAGTGGAATTAAAGTTTAGTCACACGAAAATTACTTACGTCGTCGACTGGATCTTCTTCTTTATCCGCTGATTCGTGTTCACCATTAGAACATTTTCCAACACTGTCATTTTAGCAACGAGTACAAAAGCATATAAATGCTGGCATGTATAAGATTACGCCGGTATCGTTAATCAAATTTGTAATTTAGCGAATCTACTCAACTATGTAACCAACTTGTCTTTGAATGATCAAAAAATTAAATTTGTCTGCTATGTTTAGTACAGTAAAAACAGAATGTTAATGGAGAATCATCATAGAATTGATAATCATATGTAACTGTGACGTCATGGGCAACTGTTGCCACTGCTGTCAGTGCCTGGCGAATCTTCTAACCCCTATTATTCTTGTGAGTACATATATCTCTAAGCAAGAGTATCGAAAAAGACGTTCTCTTCAAATGTAAAAAAAAATAAACAAAAGTGGCAGACATAATTAAATATTTGGAGCATGCAAATGAATCCGAGCATCACTATTGAAAGGAAACGCGTCGATTGCAGCGCACTACCAAAGGGCTGGCAGCGCGAGGAAGTGCACAGGAAATCGGGCTGTAACACGGGCGTTGATGTATTCTACTACAGGTAACCAAGCGAATTACTTGGCTGAACTTTAAGCAGGTACACGGTGAAGGTGAAACCTGGAAACTAACGTAAATTGTAATATAAACACACACATACACACAGCGAGTGCACGTGCGATAACGAATACGTTTAACTCACTCTCACTACTTTTTTTGTTATTACATTTACTACACACACAAACACGCACACACACACACACCACACCACACATTACCTACCCTCAACCATACCTGCCCCGTTCACCAATTGGATGTGTACAGCCCCACAGGCAAAAGAATTGAAAGCAAACCGCAATTAGCACGCCAATTGAACGCCGAAATGTTTGACGTTAGCAATTTTGATTTTCAAACTGGCAAAATGCAGATACAACGGCAAATGCCCTCGCCATCCATATCACTATATCGTTGCAATGCAGCGGGCGCCATTATCAGTAACGCTAGCCTAGGTGGCAACGCTACCAATGCGCTCAAACGTAAATATAGCCGAGCTCAAGCACAAAGCTTCAGCAACAACAACATCAGCGGTGGGTTTATTGCAGCATCGATAACACCAGCAGCATCAATAACAGCGACTTCAGCAACGACGACAACATCTGCAGCTAATCTGCGCCAGCAGCAGCAGCAGCAGCAACAACAGCAGCAGCAACAATTTGAATTCAGGTATAGCCAAGTTGATTGTCCTTGGCTGACCGTGGTCTTGCATGCGCCTATCAACCTAATTTTGTTAAACTAACCACTCAAATTCTTAGTACAATCACAACAATTGGCCAAATTGTAAATAATTGCTATCATTTTCTATTTTCCTTCATAGTTCTTACTCGACAAATATGTAATTGCATGTACTCTCATATTTCCTATGTGTTGTCCAATTTTTGTATACGTCTTCTATATGGCTGAAGTCTAATTGGTAGTACCATTTTTACAGCCGTGCTCTGCGCACAGATGTCTCCCTGGTACCGCCCATACGACAAACTGCCTCCATATTTAAGCAGCCGGTGACCGTGGTACGCAATCATGAGCCCAGCAAAGTCAAGCATGATGCCAAACACGGTGGCCAGGAGAAGCCAAAGCAGCTATTTTGGGAAAAGCGTCTGGAGCGTTTGCGTGCCTGTCATGACAATGGCGAGGAACTGGACGACATAACACTGCCAAAAACCATACGCACCGTCGGTCCCAATGTCAATGAACAGACCGTATTGCAGTCGGTGGCCACTGCGCTGCATATGCTGAATGCCGGCGTACATGGCCAGAGCTCCACAAAGGCGGAGCTAACCAAGAATGCGATGGCTTTCATGAATCCTGAACAGCCGCTTATGCATGCGGTTATCATTTCCGAAGACGATATACGCAAGCAGGAAGATCGTGTGGGCGTAGCACGACGAAAACTACAAGATGCGCTCAAGACATAAATGCTATTATAATAGCTTGGTCATTCACTTAGATATTCCATTGCGGCTTCTATATATCGTATAACTTATCATATTCACTTCCAATTTATGAGGTAAACCAATTGCTTGATTTTCGTTTCCTCTGCAAAAATCAATGTGAAAACCATTTTAATACTTAGCTTAGATTTTTAATAAACATTAAATATAGTCAAGCAAAAAACACACATATAAAATGGGAGTCATTGTATATACTTTATGCAACATTGCATATGTGGGTATATATATCATTAAAATAACAGGATAATTCAATCTAGTTACAATTAACGTTAGCAGCGTCAGTTGCACGTTTAATTACGTTTTGGTTGCTGCTTATTTTTCTTTTTAACATACAATTTCATATAGGGTAAATAGTTTTAAAAACAATGAATAATGGTTGAGGGCGCATTATTAATTTATATAGCTTCAAATCGTATATACATATATATATATGCGTGCTTTTTTTTTAACGAATTGCTTAAGGACAAATTACTGCTGTGCCTTCCGTTTCACTCATTTTTGAAATATTTATAAATATACATCGATGGTTAGAATTATAAATGTACAGAGCTGAAGTTAATCCAAGACCTCCTCCAACTCATCGTCCTCATAGTCGATGCCGTCATAATCCGTTGACGAGCGTGTTAACTGCAAGTAAAAATTTACATAAATCAAAATATATCAACATTACTTAAAGTTACCTTTAAATTTGGTTGCATCAAAATTTAAATTTGATCTGTTTATCTTTTGATTACAGTTCTTTTTGATCTATTTATTTTTTGATTACAGCGTTCGCTTTGAAGTCAAGCGAAATATTTTCTCTTGAGCTTGCGGCAAAATGATGTTTAGAAAATACATTTTAGAAATTGCAACTGATGCCTACCTGGGTGTAAATGCCACGCCAAGCTGCAAATGCGCCCATTGCCAGCATAGCGCCAACGCCAGCGACAATCTTTGTATTTAGCTCCGTCTCCAAGAATTTGCGCTCCGACGGCGTCATCGTATTGTCTGGATGGCTGGGGGCTTTGGTTAGTTTGGTGGAACTATAACATTCATTGCGGAATATATCCTTGGTGATGCGATTAATGAAATTGACTAGATTTTGACAGCCTTTTATGTGATTCTGTAGCGGATTATTGGGCAGTGTTATTTTGTAAATGATCGCCAAATAACTGTAGACAATGGCGTCCAATTCGCTGTAGGTGTCCCCAAAGAACCAAACTTTACGTCCCAATTTACGAGAAAGTAAGTTAACACACTTTTTGGCATTAGCTGTCAGCTGAAAGCATATAAGAAATTAATATTTCCAGGTAGCCGAAGATTACATTTTCTTGCATATATAATAGGTCGATGCTACGAACAGTTTTGTCTTATAAATAAGGACTAATGTGAAACCCAAAATCGATGAGTTAGGTTAAGAAATCCAAAAAAAAAAAACATTAAAACTTATCACACAAGAATTTTTTGTTTGACCAATTGTTCCAACGTAAGCCTACATTGTATAGGGATTCGAACCGGTAAACCTAAAGTCGAAAAAAAACGAATCTATGCGAAGTTTCACGAAGATAGCTTCCACACTGGGGACTATGTTTTTAGACACAAGCTGACAGAGGCGGCTTAGCTGCTGTTACCGATTATTATAATATAAACTTAATGACATTAAATGGGTGTAAACAGTACACACTTACATATTCGCCCTCATGCTTTTCCAGCTTATCGTTAATGTCGAAACCACCAAGCACCTGCACAACATCGGTGGCTTCGCGCTGATAAGTTGAAGGATAGTAGAAATTGAATGGGAATGGGGTGCGCTTTGCGTACAAGCCACGTGTGGTTGTATCATAGTTGTGGGGTTCACCGTACAGGAAGTAATGGTAGTAGGCATGCAGTTGTGTGAATACCCAGTTCGAGTATGTGGTGGACAAGTGCTTTTGTTTTATATTTAAATGCGCATCGACCGGATAACCCTGAAATAAACGACAAAAAAGCAGTAAATTAATTTCGCGCTCAATTGGAATAAATGCAGAGATTTTTAAGAGCTGTCGCACGTGCTATAAATAGCCAACAGGTTTATTCACCCGGCTATTTGATGTTTTGTTCACCTCAAGATCCAGCACGCGTTTGATTTCCTTATATCCAAGAAATTTATCATTGCCAATCTGTAGATAGGGCAACTTTCCAGCGCCCGAGCGCAATGGGTTTGTGTTTGTTTCAATGTCCATGGGGCAGCGGGTGAAGCGCAGAAGACACTGTCAACAATTTTGTCAAATGACAATATATTTGTTAATATATATATATGTATGTATATACCCATTGATATTGCCGATAGCGAGGAGTTGCTGATTATGATGCAACTGAACTTACCAAGGCACGCATACATTCGAAATCAATGGACGGCAGACCCCACTCGCCCTTGTACACATGAAGCTTGGAGCCCAATTGCATTTTGTGCTTTTAATATTTCTAGTCACTAAATATACTCTTTTATCGGTCGTTTAGCAATGCACATGCATTTGCATTGTTGAAATATATTAATCAAAAAATAAATAGATCTGCCTAAAATGTGCCGGACGATTTGGAGAGAGACTTTTGATTGACACTCAGTACGAGTGTGAACGTACGCAGCAAATTCAAAAATATGCCGAAATTGAACAAAAAAATATATACCACAAAAATACCATAGAAAATGTCGAAAAATGTATCGATTATCATATTCTGGTTACTGGGCAACTCTTAGCGCCAATGCGCATAATTTATGAAATTAGCGTATTTAGTAGCGTTTAACGAGAAAAACTATTGGGCATCATTTTTTGTTATTAGCTATGTCCCGTTATTACTTAAATTAGGCATAAATGGTAATGCTAGCAAGTCTTGTTGCCTACAAAATATGGGTTTTATCTAGACATATGGTCACTCTATAAAATGGTGGCAAGAGCAGCATAATATATGTTAATAAAAAAATAAAGAAAACTGTTCAGCATGATGGCTCTGGTGGATTATGGCAGCAGTTCAAGCTCAGAAAGCGACGAAACAGAAAACGAAGCTCCCGCGCCGATCAGTCTGAAGAGGTAATGTAAATTACTTTTAATATACTATGATACCTTAATTAAAAAC